GCTTTTCCGGAGCGCTGCACGTCTTTCCGGACCGCAATGGCTACAATTAGAGTACGTTTTGGGTGCTTGCTTTTCCGGACCGCTGCATGTCTTTCGGACCGTAATGTCTACAATTAGAGTACGTTTTGGGTGCTTGCTTTTCCGGACCGCTGCATGTCTTTCCGGACCACAATGGCTACAATTAGAGTACGTTTTGGGTGCTTGCTTTTCCGGACCGCTGCATGTCTTTCCGGACCACAATGGCTACAATTAGAGTACGTTTTGGGTGCTTGCTTTGTCTCTGTCTCTTTCTCCCTTCTCTTCTTTCTTTTCCCGTTCTTTCCTGTTTTTTCTCCAAAGCTGAGTTAGCCTAAGGACAAAAAGAGGTCTGAAACCACTCTGAAACACCCGCTGCTCACCATTTACAACGCTCTCTCTCTCCTCTCCCTCTTCCTCTCTCTGTCTCTCTCTCTCTGTCTCTGTCTCTCTGTCTCTCTCTCTCTCTCTCTCGCCTTGTGTTTGTCTCCATCTCTGTCTCGTGCTATCCTCTTTTCCCGACCGCTGCATGTCTTTCCGGACCGTAATGTCTACAATTAGATTGCGTTTTGGGTGCTTGCTTTTCCGGACCGCTGCATGTCTTTCCGGACCGTAATGTCTACAATTAGAGTACGTTTTGGGTGCTTGCTTTTCCGGACCGCTGCAGGTCTTTCCGGAGCACAATGTCTACAATTAGAGTACGTTTTGGGTGCTTGCTTTTCCGGACCGCTGCACGTCTTTCCGGACCGCAATATCTACAATTAGAGTACTTTTTGGGTGCTTGCTTTTCGGGACCGCTGCAGGTCTTTCCGGACCACAATGACTACAATTAGAGTACGTTTTAGGTGCTTGCTTTTCCGGACCGCTGCAGGTCTTTCCGGACCGCGATATCTACATATAGAGTACGTTTTGGGTGCTTGCTTTTCCGGACAGCTGCATGTCTTTCCGGGCCGCAATGTCTACAATTAGAGTACTTTTTGAGTGCTTGCTTTTCCGGACCGCTGCTCATCTTTCCGGACCGCAATGTCTACAATTAGAGTGCGTTTTGGGTGCTCGCTTTTCCGGACCGCTGCATGCCTTTCCGGACCGCAATCGCTACGATTAGAGTACGTTTTGGGTGCTTGCTTTTTTTTTCCGGACCGTTGCGCGTCTTTCCGGACCGCATGTGTTTCAAGTACAATCTGTTTTGAGCCCCTTCTTTTGGATGTCTTAAGAACTAGGTAGCCCCATAACCGGCCCCAAAAGAGGTCTGAAACCAGTTCGACACACCTTCCTGCTCACCGTCTCAAGACTTCTTCTTTCTCTCTGTCTCTTACTCCCTTCTCTTATTTCTTTTCCCGTTCTTTCCTGTTTTTTCTCCAAAGCTGAGGTAGCCTACGGACAAAAAGAGGTCTGAAACCACTCTGAAACACCCCGCTGCTCACCATTTACAACCCTCTCTCTCTCCTCTCCCTCTTCCTCTCTCTGTCTCTCTCTCTCTCTCTCTCTCGCCTTCTGTTTGTCTCCATCTTCCATCTTCCTCTCTCCCTCTCTCTCTCTCTATCTCTCTCTCTCTCTCTCTTTCCCTCTTCCTCTCTCTGTCTCTCTCTCTCTCTCTCTCGCCTTCTGTTCGTCTCCATCTTCCATCTTCCTCTCTCCCTCTCTCTCTCTCTATCTCTCTCTCTCTCTCTCTTTCCCTCTTCCTCTCTCTGTCTCTCTCTCTCTCTCTTTCTCTACCTTTTCTCTTTCTTTTTTCATCTCCCAAAGCTGGGGGTACCCAAAAAACAAGCCCAAAAGAGGTCTGAAACCACTCTGAAACACCTTCCTGCTCACCATCTCCGGGCTGCTGCTGCATGTCTTCCGGACCGCGTTGGCTGCTTTATCTCTATCTATCTATCTATCTATCTATCTATCTATCTATCTATCTATCTGTCTGCTCTTTAAATGTATTTCCTTGTATGTTGTGTTCAAGTCTTTTCTGTCTGTAAATTGTTCTTTTCATCAAGGTCAGCTAGACACCCCGAAGGGGTCTGAAACCACTCTGAAACCGCTCTGAAACCACAGAAGTTCAACACTTCCCAGTACTACTTCCCAGTACTACTGTGTACTACAAAGCTTGCACAAACCACTTCCCAGTACTACTGTGTACTACAAAGCTTGCACAAAGCACTTCCCAGTACTACTGTGTACTACAAAGCTTGCACAAAGCACTTCCCAGTACCACTTTTTACTACAAAGCTTGCACAAAGTCGTTCCCAGTACTACTGTGTACTACAAAGCTTGCACAAACTACTTCCCAGTACTACTGTGTACTACAAAGCTTGCACAAACTACTTCCCAGTACTACTTTGCACTACAAAGCTTGCACAAACTACTTCCCAGTACTACTCTGTACTGCATGGCTTGCACAAACTACTTCCCAGTACTACTGTGTACTACAAAGCTTGCACAAACTACTTCCCAGTACGACTTTGCACTACAAAGCTTGCACAAACTACTTCCCGATACTACTGTGTACTACAAAGCTTGCACAAACTACTTCCCAGTACTACTTTGCACTACAAAGCTTGCACAAACTACTTCCCAGTACTACTTTGTACTGCATGGCTTGCACAAACTACTTCCCAGTACTACTTTGTACCACAAAGCTTGCACAAACTACTTCCCAGTACTACTTTGCACTACAAAGCTTGCACAAACTACTTCCCAGTACTACTTTGTACTACAAAGCTTGCACAAACTACTTCCCAGTACTACTGTGTACTACAAAGCTTGCACAAACTACTTCCCAGTACGAAATACTAAGTGAATACTAAATTTAACATTCGAAAACAAGTACGAGAATAATGATGAAAAACAACTGAAATGATGAAAGTGATTTGGGAGTGTGGTCGCGCAAGAAACGCGCAAGGTTGGCGCAAGCTCGGCCCAAGAGGCCTTTGTGGGAACAATAATTTAGGACAACCCCCATGTAATAGATGGATGGCGTATGTAAATATAATTATATATACTAGTATATAATTATATAATATAAATTACATGATTTGTAAATGTATACATGCTACTTGACTATTGTTCCATATTATCCCACCTGCTGACAGTAAAATAGCGAGAGGGACTTCTCAAAGATGGAAAGCCAACACTGAAAAGACGTTTATCAATCGACGATTCAAAGCCGGGGCAAGGCTTGAGCAACTACATGTAGAGTTGACCAAAGCCAGGAATCTCCATGTTTTCATGCGTTGTTCATGTGGCATATGGTTTGCGCCAGCAAAAACATGTTCATTTCCATGATGTCCATGTAGACAGCAAAAGATGAGTTGGAGTGGGGTTGTTGACCCAGGCGAGATGGACACCAGGAGCAATTTCGTGTTGCAGCTGGTGCTGCTATTGGTGCTGTTGGTCAATGGCTGGGGTTCGGGCTAAAGCCCTACGGACAACATGTTCGTTACTGGTTTTAACTGGATCGTCCAAAACACAAACTTGCCTTTTTCTGATTTGTTTCTTTATTGGTTGTTCATGATCTTATGGAGCCATTCCATTGCGGGTTTGGCTCAAGCTTTCAGTACTACGGCAAGAGAAGACTGAAGTTCCAAAATTGTAGATAGCGTCAACGCACGGAAATGTTCAGAAATCATGAGTGGAAGCAACTGAAACATGCCTTCAGTATGCTTCAAAGGCATCACGTTGCATCAAAGCCTTGCGCCCGTATAGTGCCTGTGCAGGAAACAGGTTTTGGAACTTGCCACCAGCCATGCGACAAAGAAACACAAGACGTTTTGGTGCGGTGCATTTCACAAAATCAATTTTGTGAAAGCCACCACAAGCACTGCAAACATCAAATGTATTCAAAGATATTCAAATGAACCTATGAAGACGTAAAATGCATGTATAAGCACCGCACAGACTCCACAGAGTGAAACTTATCATCATGAATATGTTGATGTTCATAATCATCATGATCATCATGACCCTCATCCAGTATAATCCACTGATATTCCGAATCTATCCTGTGTTCCTCCATTGGGCCTGTAATTCCATCGTCATGCTGCGGTTCACGCCTCGGCATGGTATAGCCACGCTTGTGCTGGTGTGGTTCGTGGGATGTTGGCAGAGGCCTTTTACCCAGCTCAGACGCCTTGGCAAAGCATGGTGGAGATGTGGAGATGTTACACACCATGAGGGCCCCAAAAGAAGATGGAAGGAAAGATATGGCAGTTTTCCAAATGAATTTCCTGGTGTCCAACTGTCTATATATGTTTTTGAGGGTTGCTGCCGTATTGCTTGGTTCTGTCAAGTGCGTATAGGAAAAACACGGGGAGGCACTAGAAACTATATAAACCACAATGCACGTGCAAGAACTTGGACATTTATAGACACTTGTAGTCACTAACATGTCACTAACACATAGGACGTATTACAACCCGACTGCATGGTAGATAAGTTCAAGCATGTTAGTTTATGTTCCATCCCATTCGGGATTCGCAATTAGGGGAAGGATAAAGCCACCGACAGATTCACAGGTTACCAACCCATTAATTACCAAGGGGTGGACATTCCTTGGTTTATCATGAATTATGATCGTCCTTGTTTCTGAACCCTGGTATGATGAACACATGCATGTGCCGTTCCAAGTGTTTCCAAGTGATGTCATGCAGCCGCCAAGTACCTTTGGGGTGGTGCTTTAGGACCGCATGCTGTGTGGCCAGCTCCATTGGGTTTGCATCGAACAGCCAGAGCAGCATCACTGAATCCAAGTGGCCAGACTGCAAAGGCCCTAGGAATTAGTCATTCAGAATCCAGATTTCAGATGTGTTAAGCTGAAGATTGTGTGTATAATAATTTCTTGGGGGTTCTATATTGAAGTCTAGTCCATATCATTGATCATGGCTAGTACATGCTAGTACTAGATACTCGCTGGGCTTTCGAGGTGTCGTTCCTTCTGATCCTTTTGGTTCCATTTGCCATGAGATCCCAGGGGTCCCTCCTTCCAGATAAGCCAAGGCATGAATCGCAACGACCTGAAGTCCTCCATCTTCAATGCGCTGGACCAGGCGGTCAAATGGTGATAATCTACCACATTCTACCACAATAATTTAAAGATTTGGAAAATTATGTAAAGATGTTTTACAAACACCCTCCACTTAAACAACTCTGAGGTTCATTCAGCCGGGGTTGACAGTAATCATGAGTGGACAGTAAGCATGAGTGGCACGTGCTTGTAGCCAGAGGTTTGTGATGGTTTGTGTGCAAGAATTCTTCTCCTGGATAATATATTATCCCTGCCCACTTAACCCAGGTTTTCGGGGGGGGACCTTACAATATGTAACTTACATTTTTCGGTCTGTTTTTTTAGGGGGGTTAATTGTAACTTAAAAATTGTAAGGTACCAGAAATCCAGGTTTTGGAAGGGTGAAAAATGTAAGTTACGACCCCCCTAGGCATGGTCCTGGTCAAAGAATACTCAAGGTATTCCCCAGGAATACACCAGACATGTAGTGACCATGGCAATGGGGGGGGGAGGGGGAAAATGTAGCTTACATCCCCCCCGTTCTGGGGTACCAGGATATGCTACGTTTAGCTGGCCATGCGAGTATTCTTGGCTCAAAATTGCAGCCAGATTAGCTTTTTCAGTGATGTTCTTGGTGATTGTGTCTGTTTTTTGTAATCCTTGCACCAACCTTGTTTTATAACTGTATATGAATGTTACCTTTATTTCCTTCTTATATCCCAAGAGGGCCCCATACTTACATTTTTTGAGGAATAGAGGCTTCCACAGAATTGACACCTTCAAAATGTAAGTTACATTTTCGAAGGTTTTACCTACCCAAAATGTAAGTTACATTTTAGGGAGGTCCCCCCGGCTAAAACGGTAGGGATAATATATTTATATAATAAGTGGATTTATATAACTTCTCTAATTATCTATATATAATAATTATGGTGCGTTTTTTCCTTGAGCAATGTGCAGTAGATTCTGTGATGTTGAGTTCCAAGTCCGGCAGCTGCAGAGAGTTCCGCAGCCCCAGAGGACGGAGATCGGCGCTTGGGGAGTTCCGAGATGCGGCGCTTTGCGGAGCTGTCAGGCTTCGAGGGTGATGATGCTGATTGGCAGGAGGAGTACCAGATGTCACTCAGCATGTCTCAGATGTCTCGACCAAATTGCCAAATTCGGTTTATTTTGGTGGCAAGATGTGGAAAGGGCAGAGTGACTCAACAAAGTACTTGGACTCACTTGGACTTGGATCTATGTAAATCGTTCAATGTGGAGAGCAAGGGTAGAGGTTGGGAATGTGACACATCTCGGCAAATCAAACAATTAGATTAATTTGGTGGTTCTATATTCTCTAAACATTTTAAACACCCGAAATGGACAAAAACTTCCAATGAACAGCTGACCACTGAGGCTTTGTGATCCACAGGGCTGCGATTTCAATGCCTTCGGCCAGCTGCTGGACGATGACTCCGAGGTCAATCCGGAGAAAACGGAGAGATTTGGGTGGCTGGATGTGGGGGAAGAAGATCAACCATGTTTGCTAACGTTTTAAGGGACTCATTTTATTATACATATACATACCATATACATGCATATACATATATACATATATATATATAATCACATGTATTATCACATATAAATATATAATCCACTCTGAGATGGTCTCAGGGACATCATGGGGATACAAAGCGATAAATGACGCACACTTCTGCGTTATGTTTTGGTGAATTTCACAACCACACTGCGGCGATAATCAGTTTGGGAACCATACCAAATCCTGACCCAACATCTCAGGCTGGTGAATTAATACAATTTAGCCAGAATTACTTTATCAACGAACGTTGGGATTTAACTTAGCAACCCCGTAAATTTTGAGTGACATCAACTGCATTACTGTAAATTGACAACTAACTATCTGACAATGGGATGATGAGGTATCTATCTATATGACGGGCCCAACAGCCTTTTAGCAGGACATAAAGTAACGCAGTAACGCCAATGAGTCAAGTGGTCAGTTCTTTCGAAACACTTGTTGTTGTTCTTGGTTTGCTTGCTGGAAAAGAGGTGGAAGAAATGTAGAGCTGCGGGTTGGAAAGGTGAAATATGTCAACATGTTGCCCATGCGCTGCAAAAGCGTCCTCCTATCTCTGGCGCCTCTGGTCACACAATCCGCAATTCTTTGACAAACGCTTGGTACCTGTACAGGATGGTCTGTCCGTTTCTGACGCAGAGCTCGTCGATATGATGGAGGCAAATTTGCTGACAGCGAGATAAGCTCAACAACTGAACACTGCATGGCTTGCGGGTTTAGATCAGATGGTGACCCCTGTTTGATGCACGCCCCTTGTTGATTTTGTAGCTATCAGGACTATAAGTTCAGTTTTGGTATCAGCCCGGCAAGTGGGTGCAACAGCCAAAAAACCTGGATAGAATAGAATCAATATGGCGACTAGATCTGCGTGCTGAATGCTTGGATGTTGGGGTTCTCCATGGCTTGCGTGAGGCAGCATCGAACAGCTGGCTACCAATGTTTTTGTTTCAGCCTGGAGGGACGTGATAAATTATTCCAAAAGAATTGGACAAGAGAAGTCATCTCTGCCTATTGGTATGACCCCACCCTTCCATTCATCACCTGCATATCTGCATTTTTGCACGTATGGTTTCACCATGACATGTGAGGAGCTCATCAAACAAGGTGCCTCACTTTCCACAGCTTCAGCCGGTCGTCGCACCTTGGGAGCTGCCACGGAAGTGAGCTTGGAATATTTCCAACGAGAAAGGGAAGCTGGACTTTATGATGGCGAGTGGCCCCTTGACTTCGTGGATCTTCTGTTAGGTTTTTGCTCACTTCACCTTGCGAGTGGGCCGTTTGCGATGGAACAACACCATTTTTAAGACAACATATTGATGGGCAACTTTTGATAGCACAATGTTGAATGACCAGAGGGCACATAAAACTGGATAAGATGATGTTAGATTGAGTGCGGATTTTAGGCTTGTGAAACCTCCTGGATGTCACTCGAGAATATTTGAGAGCCCTGAAGCTACAGATCATTTGGTAAAGCTCGAAGAAGTACTCGCATGCTGTTCCACGATTTCAATCATTTTCAGAACAGGATGTTGGAGTATAACCATGTGTATAACCCCCATTTACCATAGACAAGTCTACCGAGTCTACCTGGGCGCTGTGCAGGAAAGCCTGGAGTGCCCAGGAAGGTGCCACTGCGCGCAGTCCACGAATTGGACGCGTAGATACTTTGGATGGCTGCCCCAGCAGCTCCACTGTTCAAGAGGTGGGATCATGTGGGATCAATGGAGTGCATTGAGGATCAATATGGCTCAATGGAATATCTTGGAATATCTTGGAATATCTTGGAACTTGGAATATCTTGGAATATGGGAGAGGAGGACAACATTGATGGACACCAGTAGTGTCCCAGCATGGTGTTGGAAACGTTGCTTGAATCAGTCTACATCAGTCCCATGGCCTGGTTGCCCTGTGCACCAGGCCATAATGTTCGTGAACGAGCAAGTGCAAAATGGCATCTTTGGTGACCAGTCAGGTCAAGCAGGAAATCGCCTTAGCGAATTGCTTGCAATACAAGGTGCAACTGGCAAGGCCGGGTGGTTCGAGTTCCGCATTGATGAGAAGCTTGGAGAATGGTTTAATATTATATAATAATAGTCTTTTTAATGTGGTTTAATATGTTTTACTATTACTATTGTTTACAGAAAATAAATGTAGGACTCTGACTCTGAAATAACCTTTCCAGCTTGGAAGTGGTTGACAATCTTGGCGCTGGGATAGGTATACAGCTGCGGGATTTCCAAATATGTTTTGGCCAAACGGGTTTACTGCTGAACTGTTCTGGCACGGGCCTGACAAGGAACGTGTTGGATGAGGAGCAGTTGGCTGAGATGGTTCTGGCACCAGAGGGCTGGCAGGTGGATAAGTCCACCATACCCACTGGCTACATGATGCACATCATGTCTGTCGGCAATGGCGTGAAAGCGACCCTTTGTGGCCGTGAAGGCTTGCACATTGTCAACTCGCTGCATCGGGACTTTTCAAAGTGCAAGCGGCTGTGCGACACCGGCCTCTGTGGAGACTTGCATGAGAGAAATACAATAGTACTCAGTAGTAGATTGGATCACAAGCCACATTTTGCTTACGTTTGTTTCAATTGCATTCCAAACCGGGGAGTTTCATTTCAGATGATTTCATCACTTTGAACGTTCTCTCCTGTGGTTGGCCTTGATTCATGCTGCTATTTGGGGGGGCAGGATTGGCCAACAAAGGCGCTTCTCTAACATGGAATTCCAAAAGACGTGGGAACTCTAAATCCACCAACTTTCTTCATTTTTTGGTTTTGGACTCCTGTGGTAACTGGGGGAATACCCAGTTTCTTCAAGAAGCATCGAAGAAATCCAAAATCGTGAGGAGTGGTGGGTCGCAAGCGTGTGGTGCTCTTGGCGCCGGATGTTTTCCCCAGTGGCAAGGTCTTGAGGAGTCCAGATATGGAGTGCCCGCATTTGAAACCATTGGCCAATCTACCGGAGGAGGATCCTTTTTTGTAAGCCTCAGAGCGCCGGTCATGGGGGGTTGGATCAGAATTTCGTCAAATTCATGGGTACTGGGTCTATACCTAATTTAAAAGTGTTAAGCCATTAAAGCACCCCGATTGTTTAAACAAAATAATTTTGTTGAATTATTTTGAGCAATATATGCGTTACTTATTATGCATTTGAGTTTCGGGAGGGAGGATGTTTTCTTTGAGGAACTTTGGACACTTGGAAATTACATGACATGTCAAGATGCTTTTGGCTTTCACTTGTTTCTTGGGAATAAAGTGCAGTTTTTGCCTGAAACGATCATTCATGACAAGGGATATGATGTGTTTGTTTCTTTGGGACTGGATATTGATACTTTGACAATTGGAGAGTTCAGGATGCGCCTCATGTTGTGCAGGGCCCATCCCAAATCCAAATTACCCAAGATCCTTATACGATCTACACGTGAAACGTCTAGAGTCTAGAGTCTAGAGCTGCACCAAAAGCTTTCCCCCCCCGCTTGAATCCACCCCGAGAGTTGTGATATTTCTGACGCTCATCATTATGTTCCCCTGCTAATATATATGTTTGGATCTGTAATAGGATCTTGCTATACATCAACTTTGTAATCTCCCTTGCGTGTTGCACGAAGGGACCCGCTCTAATTTGTCAGGAAGCTTGGCAGAGACTGGAAGCTTTAGCAAAGACTCCTGGAAAGGGTGGCGTCCTGGATCTTGAGATACCTGGCTGCATGACATGTGGAGATGTTTGATTCCACCCCGAGAATTCATGAGAATTCAGCAGCTGCAAGTGCGCCAAAAAGAGGGGTTTGCAAGAAAAACACAGTTTTTGAAGATGGGTTTCAGCAATGTTTTATCATTGTTCATTGATCTTATTCAAGCTTAAATATGATATACCCGCAGATGCCCACTGAAATTTGGAGCCGATTCCGATTTCGGCTGAACGGGTTCCAAGTCCAACCTACCACACAATATATTGATCAATTTCGGGTAGGGTATGGATCGCAGCATTGCTTCAACAGATCCACAGCTTGTCAGCCTTTGGTGACGGAGACCGCCATGCAGGCCTGGAATGTTCGTCTTTGTCCCGCACGGCTGGTGGCATGCGGTTCGGCCTATCGATGATTTCACGTTCATCACGGGACCTTCCCAGCTTTCGAATCTAGGGGTCTCAGCAGTCAGCTGAGGCCTCAAGTGGTTCCAGATTTTACCTTCAATATAGGTAGGATTAGGATATTAAATGCGTTTGCTGACAGGAAATGAATTCCTGCCTAAAAGCGCCGAAGATCGGCCCAAAGACTTGTAATCGGTCCGACGGGTGCAAAAGATGTGTCTTGGAAGGGAAGCTTGCCGCCAGTTCTACTTGTTTTACAAGGTGACTCACGGCCGGCAAGTAGATTAGGGGGTTGTGTGGGTGCATGAAAACTGTTTTTTTTGAAGCAATGTCCCAATTTCATCCAAATCCATCCAGTTTTTATTGACCCCGATTAGAACATGCTAACAAGAGATGGCCCTGACAGGACTGCCGATTTACCCCCAAGGCCCCAAGGTACGTTTTTTTTGCGTGCCATCCTCAGCACCCCATGTTCCCAAGAGGACTAGGTCGCAAATCTCGCCAAGAACATAAGCCGGAGCGGTTTTTCTACCCAGATCTGAATATCTCGCAAGGAGTACTCCAGCATCTTTAATGAGCTCAACACTGATGCCCTGCCATTGACCTCCATGATCTTCCCTGAGCGGAAAGGTGTTTTGGACATACAGCTGCGAACCAAACAAGGGGTTTGGTCTGTTCTTGGTGTTTAAAATCCATGGGTTTAGGGCCAAACATGTCCAGACTTATCTTTGATTGTGTCGGATGAATCCCCTACAAATATTGGCTGTGTCCGGAATAACACATCATCCCATAGACCTTGACTCATGGAAGGCCAAAGCTCGGGCTCGGCCTGTTGGTCAGATGGCTTTGGTCAGCTCCAGTCTTATGATGCCAAGTGCAGATGCATCAGGCGAAGGTTATATATAATATGGAATCATTCGGTTTCGAGGTGTTTCCAAGAACTCAGATGAAACCTAGCTTCTACTCCGGACAGGGGATAAGATAATCATACAAATCACCTGCAATCATAGGGGTGATTGATACATTGATGGTAGGAAAATTATGGATAGTGTTTTTTTTCATTTTTTTAGACTATGGCTTGGTCACTCAAGCCTAAGTTAAGTAGTTAAGTCCATCAGTATTTGACGACCAAGTTGGGCAGCCACCTTTGTTCTTCGTGCTCACCAACATGTTTCGCGGTGTGGGTGAGGAGGAGTTCGGCATTGTCTGTTGTTGGAGTAGTGTGTTGATGACAGTTCTCAAACACAGATTCCATATGATTCTACATCATCATGCATTTGCGATTCTAAAAGATGAAAATGTGTTGGTTGCTGTCTCATTTCCATCCATGTTTTCTGCATGTGAAGTTTATGATAGTTTATATGTGAAGGGATTTCATGCATTACAGCTGCATTTTGGGTCAAGGGCTCGCCTTGCGCGGCTTGCGCAAGTGAGCCATGACCTACTACAACCTTCCACCCACGAAATTTGCGAACGAGTTCAACGACTTTGAGAAGTCCCTCCGGGCACTTCCAGCATCTCAGAGAAATGTGAAGAACAGCAGTGAGAGAAGCTGGAGAGATTGGAGCAATCTCAGGATTTGCGATTTGATCAATGATAATGATGATCATGCTAGATCATGCTAGCATTTTTAGATTGAAAATTGCAACTATCGAATTGCATCCATGTTGCTACGTCGATGTGAAGTGAAGACAAGTGAAGCTTTGTTGAGTTAGTTGGTTAGCGGGTTCAGCCTTCCAAATTAACACACTTCACGCGCAAATCTTTAGCTGGTCTAGTCATGTTGATTGGAACTGTTTTCTGCTTCTCATTGGAAACAGGGCTAGACCATGTAGCCACGAGATGCGATGAGGCTTCCCATAAAGTCAAGATGTTTAGTAGCACAGTACAGTCCCCGGTCCAACCAGCTCTGTTTTCTTTCCACTTGTCATGCATGATACAGTGGCAGCTCTGAGGCAGATGGGGCGATCAAGGGATTAGATTTGCTCGAGACCATCACCCGCAATACCGCACAGAATCCAAAAGAGGAGACTGGGTTTGGCGCAGATATACCTGACCAGCTGCAACGAAAAGTCAACAACTACCGATGAGGCATTGAAAATTAGCCCCTATCAGCCCATTAATTATTGCAATTCAGATCATAAACCCAGGAGTGTGCTGCGCAAACATGCTGCGCTCTGGACACTGTAGGTCCTGAAAGGCTGGGAAAGCAAATTACATTTTGGTAGCTGCTGAAAAATGATCAAGGACGTCTATAATTAGTAAGTATTCGGCAGGTCTTGTATGTTGTTGGATGCACTGTCGTCCATGAGCTGTGATGATTAACACCCTCTCAAGCATGATCATTATAGAGTAGTCAAAATAGAGGTGATGCCAAACAAACGTATTGGGACCATAATATACAGGATCAAGAAAAACTATGCCTCCCTTTGTTGCCGGGGGCTTATTAGCTTATATTTGTGGCGGTGGGTCTTAGATGTTATTAGCCTGGTGTATCTGGTGTGAACATGACAGAGACCTTTGGAGTCTTTACCACCTTTTGTTGACCCATACCATTGTGCCAAGTCCAATCCAACATCACTCTGGTAATGTATCCAGCCACTCATGCCCACCAGGAGAAATTTCGAAAGGTGCGAACCACCAACGAAAAAATGGCACCATTCTTCAATCTGCCAGGTATTTTGGCATGACACTTTCATGCCACCATGAAACCAGATTGATGTATGGTTTGCATGGTATATCTTGCCATGTCCATCCCAAGTAATATTCTTATTTTCAAGATTCAAGATCGTACAAGAACGTCTCAGGGCATTTTTGTTGAGGCATCATGTTCACACCTGCTGCTTGCACACAGTCACAGCTTGGTGGTTGCGTTCTGACGTGGGCACGCACTGTTGCTTATTGTTATGATTCTATCATCATAATATGACTCCGGTTTCGTACGTCAAGACAGCTGCCTGTAGGCTCATACATGCTCATATTGCTCTCATATTGCTTTCGGCTTGTGGAACAATTTTCGTCAGGAAGCATTGCAGTCATGAAGAATATGGGCTGGGAGCAAGAGGCCGAATTTATGGTGCTGCCAAAGTCCATCACGCTGGATTTTCCCCAGCATGTGGTTCCTGGGATGAAAGTATCTGAAGACAAACTCTGTGATGAAAACAGCGCACGAGAGGAGGATTTGCACTATGTGCATCCACATTCGCATATGTTTCCAGATCATGCATAGCGGGTCGTGAGGGCCAATGATAGCTGCAAGTTGTTTGGCCCAGTTGTACCGTAGGGCCCTTAGGCCCCCATCAGGGCCCGTAGGGCCAGATCAGCTGGTCACCAAGGTCAAGATTTTGGAGGCGAAGAGCCACTTCGGCAAGGTGCAGGACTGGCAGTCGCCATGTGCACAGTTTTGACGTTTCCCTGGCAGATTGGGTGTTCAGGATCATTCAGGTAGTGATGGTAGTGTGTTTTCTCCCCGGGATAAGGGCCCCAGACTAGGTGTCGAGGAAATGGGTTTCTTTGTCAAGCGCCATATATGATATATGTGCTTCCTGGTTCCATTCAGACATCATTGCGCTTCATAAAGGTTACAATCTCAATTGTGCGCAAGTTTGTTGGACGCAAATGTCATTATGATCAGCTTGCCTTTCAGGAACAGGAAAAGCGGGTCGCGAAGTTGGCTCAGGACTGAGGGTTTTTGGGAGCCTCGGACTGGACTCGGACTATGTTCATTTTTTGGGCTGATTTGACAAAGAATGAAGGTATTACAGTGTAGACAAAATCTCTATGCAGCGCTGGTGATGTGTAAAGATGTTCAAGTACCATCCAGCAGCCACATGGGTATTTGTATTTGTATTTGTCTAGCTTGCGTGCTTGTGCAGTTGCCCAGTTTAGGGCACAGGTCAGTGTCCGCACTAAGTCCTTGCACAGCGGCCGCAACTGTTTGTTATCATCCTTGACAACAAGTGAGTGAGCATCATTCCTGTTAGTGAGTTCTGGTCAAAACGTGTCAAAGTCATTGTAGCAGTAGCATATTTGCATTTGGCACTGGGGTGACTTTGCTGATGAAGGCATTCCAGAGTACTTCCATGCATATTTCAACTTGATTGAATTTCATCATATTACCTTTCAAGATACAGGACCCAAACAAGGCCACAACGCTCAAGCAACTTGAGCTTGACCGGCGTCACTTGTCCAGACACATGATGACATCCAATCCAAACAATGGATGGCCAATGGGAATTGGTAGCCACCCTTGTGTTTAGAGTTAGGATGATTTGATTTCACTCAAATGGTCTCAAATGCACATGATTGGCACACAGTGGTACTTATATATATATACTATAATGTACAAGTTTCAACATGACAATTGGCAATTGGCAATTGACAATGTTAACGTTGTTAATCTTCTTAATGTTGATGTTGTTAATTTTGTTAATCTTCTTGTTGTTGTTGTTGTTGTTCTTGTTCTTGTTCTTGTTCTTGTTGTTGTGGTGGTGGTTGTGGTTGTGATGATTGTTGTTGTTGTTGTTGTTGTTGTTGTTCTTGTTCTTCTTGGTTCTTCTTGGTTCTTCTTGGTTCTTCTTGGTTCTTGTTGGTTCTTGTTGGTTCTTCTTGGTTCTTCTTGGTTCTTCTTGGTTCTTCTTGGTTCTTCTTGGTTCTTCTTGGTTCTTCTTGGTTCTTCTTGGTTCTTCTTGGTTCTTCTTGGTTCTTCTTGGTTCTTGTTGGTTCTTGTTGGTTCTTGTTGGTTCTTGTTGGTTCTTGTTGGTTCTTGTTGGTTCTTGTTGGTTCTTGGTTCTTCATTCTTGTTGTTGTTGTTGCTGTTGCTGCTGCTGCTGCTGTTGTTGTGGTTGTGGTTGTGGTTGTGGTTGTGGCTGTTGTTGTTGTTGTTGTTGTCGCCTTTGTTTCAGACATTATTTATTAATTATTAATTATATATTTATTATCAGTGTCACATTTTTTTGATGTTTATAATATAGTATTACATTAAACTATTGTTTTTCTGTTATAGTCAAATGGGAAAATCTGGGGAGCTGCTGCGCACCAAAGACATATAAGACATGACATAGAACCACCTTTTAGCACTGAAGAGAGGGTTGAGTGCCGGGAGCTAGGTTGATAAAAAATCAAGCTAGGTTGATAAAAAATCAACCCCAGATTAATAAAATCCAGGTTGATGTTGATACATACTTTGCTACTACAGTAAAATTATATGCCCACAATTGAACAGCAAAGGGATTTATCAATTTGGAGTTGACATTGGCCAGGATCAGATGATCCCATGCGCCCACGGCGATTAGAAACTGTCGATTTTCAAACTCCTCCATACCTGAGATTACATGTGGCATTCAGATTCTGCCCATTTTTCACCCCTACCCGTTTGTATTCACAGTAACGGCTATTCCTGCGCATGGTTCCCTCAGGTGAGAGAACGGCGGCGGACAGTATGACAAAGAATAGCATTCCCTTGTCCCCAAAGAGCGCAGAGGAAGCAGAGTTGGTGACTTGACCAAGACCAGCCTTTGGACCTTTTAAGATTTTAAGGAGATAATGTAGGCTGCCTAATAATAACCCCCCCCATTTTTTTTAAGGGGGCCAATAGTAAATTCCTGGAACCCAATAGTAAGCTCTTCTTGGAATCTGTCTGGATACTATACCATGCCCTCTGGACAAGGTCAGAACATTAGTTTTTTGGCAATACTAAAAGTAAATTAGGCTAATTGACTTTTAGTATTGGAGAAGAAACTGGAGTTGGGAAAAAAAAATCTACTATTGCCATGTTGGGTCCACTATTGGCCATGCCCTCTGGACAAGGTCAGAACATGAGTTTTTTGGCAATACTAAAAGTAAATTAGGCTAATTGACTTTTAGTATTGGAGAGAAAACTGGAGTTGGAAAAAACAAATATACTATTGACAAGGTATCATTATTGGCTAGACAACATTACTGTAGATGCTTTTCATTGTATCTTCATTTGACAAAGAGGCTGCGATAGCATTCCGAACCAAGGCCGAAGCCATCAAGTTATCTCTGGAACAGGCTCCGGAGGCGCTGAACAAGCAATGCAACATCAAGCCAGCATTACAGGGAACGGGGTTCAGTTGTTTGGAATCTTGGGTGGTTGCCCTTTTTTTGCCGATACAAGGATAGGTGGTAGAACCAATTTAAGGCAATCCAATATTTTCGAGTCAAGATGCGGCATTTGCATCGCTCATTGCATTAAAACTGTGCCATGTCTAAGCCATCGGTGTGTCAACGAAGAGGTCCGAGACTTTCATTCATTTGGTCAATGGTTCATTTCTTCTTAATGTTTCTCATGGCTTATCAAGCTTTGGTTCCTGGTTGATCCACCCCCTACTGTTTTTAGCGATCGCCAGGCCAAAGCCGAAACACCGAGCCCGCCCAAAGCGGGAGTGGAAGCGCCGGAGGTGCCAGCAGCGCCGGCGCCAAAGAGCGAAAAGAAGGACGGCGCCGAGCTCTTCGTTGGTGGCTGCTAAACCCCAGTTGTTTGATTTTAGGGGGTACACTAAGCAATATATAATTAGGGAATGTCATGGAATCTCACAATCCATGACCCGGGAATCACAATTAACTGACCAGTAAGTTGATGTAGAGATTCTGTTAAATCACTATAAATCACTTGGTAAAAGCTATATATATATATATATAGCATTATATAGCTACTGCTACAGTATATTATATAAATTTACATATATAAACTGTTTTGTGATTTTCATAGTCGCAATTCTTGCTGTGACCCTTCCAACCACATTAGTTTTCTCTGGCAGTGGGCGTGAAACGAGGTCCCATGGAGGTCTGTGACTCCGCTTGCCCTTTCCATCAAATACATATGGGGGTTTCTAAAATGGGGATCCCCAAAACAATATGGTTATTGCCAATTCTAACATAGCAAAACATTCTAATGACTTGGATGATTTGGGGGTACCCATATTTTAGGAAACCTCCATATGATTGCTGTATGCTGTTTTTCTGCGCTCTATCAGCGAAGATTGCCTACCACTCAGGGCGATTCGCGCAACTGTGATGATAAAGTTTCTGTAGCATCCCCGAGCGCTGCTGGTTTTGAGTTCTGTTCGGGGATACCAAAAGAAAAGAAGAACTTGTGTTAATATAGTTATATATACATTATATATAATTATATATATATATACATTGTATTAATTATATATATATAACTGTTTTATGTATCTATCTACTTTCTGGTGTGCCCCACATGATCCCACATGTTTAGCCCCATCAATTTTCAGGTTTGGTATAGCAAACTCAACAGATTTATTATCAAAACACGGGAAATGTTTGCTCCAGTCCTGTTTAGTCCAAGGAGTCAGCCTTTGACTTCAAGCGAAGGGAGGATCCTGAGAAGAAGCGTCAGGACAGCGGTCCAGCCGCAGCCTGGATCGCAAGGGTTGCTCCGAACCACGCAGTGCAGGAGCAAGAGAACTCCCTGGCAGACATCCGTGCTCTCCAAAAGCAGAAGTTCAAAGAACATCAGGCAGTCACAGTGAGCTGTGGTCTCACACCGGAGTTTGGCCCAACAGAAGAAAGAGACTGATTTATAATTTATAGGATTTTGAAAGGCCACAAGGGCCACAAGGTGATTTGTGCTGATTTGGCGTCACGCCAACGTCTCCTGAGTCATGCTTGTTCTAATACTTTAATAGATCTTGTCCCACTAGGAATCTCCGGTCGCTGGACCAACTGTTGGTGACAATTGTTGATGAGAGTTGATGGGAATCTGCCAGAAGATGGACACCCGCCATTCAAAAGGGCGCAAGACAAATTAACCAAATCCTTCAACCAACATCCATATGCATTTGTCTCAAATTGGGGAATCATATGTCAAAAAATGATCCAACATGATTCAACATGATCCAAAATGCAAATTTATTGGGACGAGTGACAAGTGGTGATCAGCCATCCTGAACCGTCCGTTATCTCAGGCGGATCCAGATGCCAAGAAGTCGGAAGCATATCAGCGACCGCCCACCATTGCACCAGGAACGGGGCTGGCTGGTGCTGGGGCGAAAAATTGGGACCCCATGGGATTCCAAACATGTGAGAAAAAGATAGAAAAAGCGCAGAAGGTACTGGTATTTTGGGAACTGCATTGGTGTAAAACCTTTGAATACCTGTGATCCGCGAGGAGGTTCGGAAGAGAAGGGCTGGTTCGACTGGATGTGGGGAGGTTCCTCCTCCTCCTCCAGCGGTGGTGGAGGTGGCGGCGGTGGCGGTGGAGGCTATGACAGGAAGCCTCGTATGAAGACCGTCAAAGACCTGCCGCCACCTCCCAAAAGGGGCTGACGCTAAGCAATGGGCTCTGCTGTAGCTGCCAATCCGCACCACCTCATTTGATGATGCAACGAGTGACGAGCTCCCGCTACACTGCCGACTGTGTGGCAGAGCTTCTGAGAGTTTGCGTCCTCGAGGTGTGTGCTGAGCAGCTGCAGTGCAGTGCCCAGAACTGTGTAAACAGTTCTTCTAGTTGTGCTGCTGTGCTGTGTAGGTCAAGGACCGGGCGTAGCAAATTATATCAACTAAGAGTGTGGAAGACCATGAAAATGCCGAGAGAGAGAGATATATATATATATATAGAGAGAGAGACAGTGATAGATAGATAGATAGATGGATAGATAGATAGATAGATTAGATTAGATTAGATTAGATAGATAGATAGATATTATATATGTACATATATGTATACATGTACATGCACATGCACTCATGCACAAATGCACACATGCAGACATCCAACTATGGACGTCCATACATCCGTACATCCATCCATCCATACATCCATCCATCCATCCATCCATCCATCCATCCATCCATATATACATACATACATACATACATACATACATACATACATACATACATACATACATACATACATACATACATACATACATACATACATACATACATACATACATACATACATACATACATACATACATACATACATACATACATACATACATACATACATACATACATACATACATACATACATACATACATACATACATACATACATACATACATACATACATACATACATACATACATACATACATACATACATACATACATACATACATACATACATACATATACATACATGCATACAAACATGCAAACATACAAACATACAAACATACACACATACACACATACATACAGACAGACAGACATACAGACATAGAGACATAGAGACATACACACTATATATATATATATATATATATCCAAAGTATGAACTATTTGCATGCATTTGAGTATGCACGCTCTCAGAGCGTGCGACCATGCTATTTGCGGTCTGACCATGATTTTTGCATGCATTTCCAACTGCTTATTTTCCGATTGATTTCCGATAAATTCCGTCAATTTTTCGGGAATAGCCGCTGACCTTATAACGGTTTGTCACGGTCTGTCACGGTTTTTTCCGACAATGCCCAATATTTCAGTTTAGTTGTTTGTCTTCTGTCACGGTTTGTCACGCAACTGTTAGGCAATTTAAAGCCAATATGAACTCTTTCCGATAAAATATGATAAAATACAATCTCCGATTGTCACAATTCGACAAAGCAGCATGCGCTATTTGCGATCATCAGAAACGATTTCATTATTATTTGCATGCATTTCCGATTTGACCCTATTCATGCGCATGGATAGTAGATCATAGTACTTTAGAAGGCCTTTCGGAACAGACCTGCACCATCATCTTCAAATCCTTCAATGTCAACTGCAGACCTTGACCTGCGACGCGTTTCCACTCCATGCTTTCTGGACTGGCACCAGCATGTGGTTGGTGTTGGGTCCTTGCTATCTTTTCATGGCTGTCTTTGGCGAGCGGGTCAGTAACAATATTACATAAACACCTGTAGCATATATAGCTAAGACATTTATAGCTCAGACATTTATAAGCCGAGATCATGGCTTTTGCAGGCGTAGATATTGCCACAATTTTCGACGGTTGCCTTTAGCCCAACAATTGGCGACTGGCGAAACATGTTGATCACAAAGAACCGCACCATTGGCTGGGCCAGATAGAGCCAGCCAGAATCGCTGATGACTAGCCTCTTAGAGTCACAGAAGATGTGAGGTACTCTGCGAAGAATCAACGTTTGCAGCAGCAATGGGGTTCAGATTAGCATGAATTGATCACCAATGTTGGCTTTGGATTTTATCGGTAGCTGAGCATGGATTTTTACACAGAAATGTGGAATGCATGCATTCTGCGAGTACCACAGCATTTAATCTTGGGACTCTGCACCACGTAGTAGCACCGTTGCTGCGTTGGGGCCTGCCCTGCGGCAGACTCTCTCACCTGGCACCGTGGCCGAGACTTACCACAGTCGGCCGGCGCTCTTCGCAAAAAGCACTGAGGAAACTGGTTGGTAGACGTCGAAGCTCTTCCATCATGTATACAACAGCAACGATGTGTCAGAAACTTTTCCGGGAATGGCAAAGGCTCAGTGATGTTCAGCGCTTCGTTCTGCAACCTAAACGCATGTTTTGTTTGCTTACAAGGATGGCTACAGGTAGACATATAAGTGTTGACCCTGGGCTTCGCAGGACATGGCAGACCTTCATCGCAGGACTGGAGCCAAATTGTTCCTGTTCTCCTGTGGTCTCCAGCGGGTTGCCCACTACAGTCGTGAGATGTTGTATGTTAGATAAGTTGGGTTGAATCTCAGCTCCGCACTCACAAACACAGCACTGCTGTATGCCAAAAAATGTTCTGGTTTTAGCAACCGAAAAGGTGTCTTTGTTTTTGTGTGCTCAAGAAGGCGGTAGAGGACAAGAGCCCAGAAGGCACCTTTCCAGATAAAGGGAGGAGAACAACAATGACAGGGACGGGTGCCACAACTGAAGCTTTTGTGGGGCACCAGCAGGGTTTGCCCCGTTTGTCCATACATGATGCCTATTTTCATGATTTTCACATGAATTTCACATGATTAAAATCTGATTTCTGGTCATCTACCCATCCAAAGCAGTGCGTCTACATGCGTCTACCATTTTCTCACGTCCGTCCCTCCATGCACCACACTGCACACGTTGCTGTTGCCTTATTTTTGGATGCATCACATTGGATGCTCACAAGCCCCAACCCTGGGATGTGTCGAAAACCGAGAGCGGAAGGCTGGAGGAGAGTAAGTGCAGCTATCCTGAAGCCTATTGCTCCTTGTGGTGAGGGACTTGGCATGCAGTTTTGTCCCTAGCATCACGCTGCATATCTTGGAATATCATTGAATTATCCTTGCAAGAGAACGAATCAGTAACTTAGAACCCTGATCAATCGTGCATAGCTTGAGTTGTACATAGTTGTGCAGTCGTACTACTATCTACATGAGTTGCGCCAAACTATGTCAAGTTTCAGCTTAAACTCGCAAATTTTCATTCTCGTGTTTCAAGACAAACTCGCCTTCGTGCCTAGGGCTGGTAGCCCCCATTGATCCCATCGCCAGGCTTTGCACACGTGACTTTGGCAGACTCCCCGCTGGCTTCCCCAAACCTGAAGGCTTTACAGCACCTCAACTGGAAGATCGGCTGATATCTGATGCTTTGGAAAACTTTGGATTACTATGGGGCTGGGTTGTGATTCCAATGTCTCTTGATTTGTGACTTTCCATCTGCGATGATGATTCCCAACTTGAAAAAATTCTGCGTCCAGACTGGCAGTGTATGTCAGTGTACGTATGTTTGGTTCCTTTGTATCAAGGCCACTTGCATGATCTTGTGCCCGCGCAGTGGCTGGCCCCTGTAGTATGTATGTTGTTTTGGTGCATCATTGGTTTGTCACATAACAATAGTTAATCCTTGGCCGGTCAATGCCAAGGTGTCCAACGATGACATCACTGGCGCCATGTATTCTGCCATGCTTGCTGCCCTTGAGAGCCAAAATGGCGCGAGGAAACACCAAATGGGATGGGCTCACAATGCATAAATTACAATATGCCGGTGGAGTGAGGAAGGCCGAAGTGGCTCTTGCTAGCTGCTAGCTCGCCTTTTTTGATATATATATATATAGATGTTATTTCTGTTTGGTGGTGATTTGTACATGTTGTTTCCTTGGTCATGCTTTTGTCATCTTTTGTCCTTCTCCCCCAGTTGAATGACATTTGTTGGACCGGGTTAGAACCACCAGCCATCAATACAAAGTTTGTTTGAAGTAAACACTCCAAAAAAGGCCTATTTAAAATCCATATTATCTATAGTTAATGTGTTATTTGATGGTAACATCTACTGAGAATCTACTGTATGTTAAACCGTGGTTTCCTCCAACTCTTCCATTGCAGCTTTGAGGCCCACTTCGGATGCCCTGGCACGGCTTCGCACGGGGCATCCGGCGGCCCCACGTGTTGTGCACGAGATGTGCAAGGCAGGGCTCACTGGGGGTTGAGGCGGTTGAGGTCTGATTTTCAAGGACCCCGAAATCCCGAAATATGTTGAATATATGATGAAATATGATGAAATAATGGGTAACTATGGGTAGCAGGATGTATCCAATAAACTATCTTGAATATTATTGAATGATGATTATACAGCTTAGCTTAGAACAATTTATTATGTCTTGTATGTATAGTTGTTATTTGTTCATGCTTCTTGTAAATGATATAGGTTGTGTTGTTAGACCCCAATAGTCAGGGGCAGGATGTCAGATCTAAAAGCATCGCTATTGACAGATGTGACATATGTTCGACCTTGGACTTGTTGAGCAGCCACTCACCACACTGGTCAACTAAAAGACAAATGGAATATCAATGAAATATGTGTCCAGGCCATGTTTTTCTAGCATATTAGACTCAACCTCATTTGTTTTGTCGCTTTGCGAAAAACCGAAGCCCTTCTCAGGAGTGGGAACGTGGGCAAAAGATGGTTCCTGGCGAGGCTGGATCGTGCCGTATCGTGCCCCTGGGGAGGGTTTGTGATCAGCAATAGATGCTCTATGCAGTCCCGGCCCCTGCATCCAGTTTTTGTTTGGTTTGTTTATTTGCTTACAGTCGGACGGAGTCAGCTACCGGCTTTACATAGCATCTCAAAAATGCATTTGTCCTTTATCCATATTTATCCATTTTTAATCCATGTTTATCAGAGTTTATCATTGATGTTTCAATTTTTGTCTTCTGTGCCGTGGCAGGATTTCGTCTACTCCAAGGAGTCGGGCAGATACTGCGCGCTTCAATCTGGGCGAGCCAATCCGAAGGTCCGGCGTGGGTTTGATCCATTTTTGCGCATGGATTGGCACTTGAGCGATGTGCACATACCTAAATTCGAACCCATACCATTCCATACCACCATTTTATCCAATTTTAACATATTAACATACTTTAACCACTTGGGGACCTGACAATTTTCGAAACCACGACCCGAAAGAGGCATTTGTAAAGTTGTATAACTGGTATTGCCGCAGTACTTGCAGATCTTGCACTTGTTTGTGATTTTTCTTGCACCACTGTTTTTTTCAAACGTTCTTGAAGGGTTTTTTTCATACTTGAAGGGAAGAGCTGCAGAACCGCCCAGTATTTTTGATGGATCGAAAAAAGGTTCCCCATAGATTCTCACAACCAAACCAATCATTTGGGGTTGAACTGGCCGCCCAATGGCAAGGCTTGGTCCTTGGCTTTGGAATGCCGCAATTTCAACGACAGCCTGAGCAGCGAGCCCAGTGAGAATATGGCAGTGGATGGGTTGGAACTTCAGATTTGCTCCGAATATGGCGTTTTATGTGTTTTTAGTGTATTTTGATGGAAATTGAATATATATATATAATTATATATATATAGTTCAATCCACACAGAATCATCAATCATTGGGAAGTTATGGGCTGAAACCAGGAAAAAGTCATAGAGTGTGTCTGAAAAGGGGAGGTTGTCCACCCAAATTGCCCAGCCTGGCAATCGGAAAACCGCTCAATCAGTGGATTTACTGGAGATTTTCCAGGACACTGGGTGTTTGGTCGGCACATATAGTACTGTAGTATTAAATACATACAATTAACTTGTGTGTATATAAATACATATATGTAGAGTACATGTTAATTTGCATTCATGCACTATTTTGCTGTACATGTGCCGGATGGAAGCCGCTGTGGCCACTTTAGCTGTGAGGGATTGTCCTCTTTCCTGCGCTTCTAGCTTTCACTTCGGAATGGTTTGAATGAGAACCAATGTCAAAGTCCTAATAGACCCACTGCATTGAGCCGTATTAAAAATTAATGGACATAATGGATACATTGGAAGTGGTTGTTTGTGCAACATGCACGGCCGACCCAATGTAGTGTGGTTCATTGTGGTTCCCCATGTGTAGCTGATGTGATTCCATCCAGATTCCCTCCCACCGTTGTGTTTCTTCATGTTTGATGTTGTATAAGTGCCAGGCTGATATTGTTTAGTGTATAAACATGCAGACATAAACTTCAAAATCAGACACTTCAAAACGCAGAAATGTCGCTTAGCTGAACTACCCTGCCCTTGTGAACTCAGAAAAGGTCAGTACTCACTCCTTGGTGACTTCCAAAACTGGTGTAGCTCACGGCCAGGTAAGGAGATCTTCTACCAGGAATGCGACGTCGCCGGTTAGATCAATCCACCTTTGTCAAAGGTTTCCTCGGAACTCTCCAGCAATTCCCATTCCGGCGACCATTCCTGCATCCAAATGCTACTTTTTGTTATGCAATTTCGATGTTATATGCATTCACTTTATGACAATGATCTATTTATTGATTCCAATCGCTCTACATTTGCAAGAAGTACTTCAAAACCAAACGCGCTGATTTGAGTGTTGGCACATATGATATAGATCATATTGGCACGCAAATCATTCCCCGCTTAGCCATAGGAGCGGCTCTTTGTGATGTCCCGGCCACGGGTCTTCCGTCGATACCACCGCATTCTTGGCACTATGGCAGCAAGTTGTGGATGCTGAAGGTGCTTCTAAGGATACGAGGGGCCAGACACTGGAAGCAATGTACTTGTCGATATTTTGTAGCCAATCATTGCATCACAGATCACTCCGCCCCTAAGCCTCAGGCCTCAGTGGTTCCATCGGTAGTGACCCCGAGCGGCGCTTCTTGCAAGAGACCTACCGTTGGGAAGCCAAAAACGGGGTGCAAATGTTGAGGCTGTGATGAAATAATATATTGAAATAAAGAAACTTAATTTTTAGAATTTACCAGTAAGAGTTCCCCAGAATTAATGCGTGGAGTGTCAGTTATTTGACCTATTCCAGCCGGAATAGATGCTCGAGTTTGTTCGAGCTGACTTTATGCGGGCCAACAAATCGCTGCCAAGAATCAGGTGAAGAATGGTGAAGATCCACAGACATCCAGCATTCAAATGCATTCTGACTGGTTTTGAATGTTTTGATGTGAGGTTCTGCATTTTTTTGGTTGCTCCCTTGACATGTACTTGTGCCAAGGTGCGGCATTCTTCGAGGTTCCACCATTCTTGAAGTTGGGACTCCCAAGGGCCGCAGGTCAAACACGATGCCATGCGTGCTTCACATCCTCCAAAAAAATAAAGCTTAAAGCATTCGGTTGACACGACTTGCGACTTGAACTTATTAGCAAACACAATGCTTAGAATTTGTGTATGCTTATTATTACTTATTATAGCGTATGTGAAATGTATTATTTGGATGGAGCCAATACCGTGGTTTGCTACCAGGTGGCGTCTCAACGAACTATAATTATTATGATCACACTGTTGGGCCTTTGAATACACGGCATTGTATGCAAAGTGTTGCAGCAAAGTTCGTTTATATAACAACTTCTTTGGATTCTTGCAAGCTGATGGACTTTTGTTGTGACTTCCCCATGCGGTCTCAAGTCCGAGGACGTGTCGAGGCTCTCCCTTCCATGAGTCCTAACCTTGGTGAGCGGTTCGATGTTAACATCCTGCTGCATGCGGAGCGAAGCTAAGTCTACAAATTGATGATAATTGATGTCCTGTTCAGTTCCAAATCTGAGCTGACAGATGCTGACAGCTGCGTCACGTGCGAGTATGAAACAACAGTTTCTTACAATGATACACACTTAATTATATAAGTTGTGTTCCGGTGTGTTTAAACATGTTTTGAAAATCATCACCCTTTTAAGGCTGCTTTTCAGGGGGGACCATACCGAAATGCAGCATACATTTGTTGATGCTCCACCCTTTTTTCCAAATGTAAGATTGTAAGCTGAACACCCTTAGGTGCAAAAAAAAAGAGCGCACGGACTTGCATTTTGTATGGGGTAAGGGGGTAGTGTCCGTATACCTTCTCTCATCCAAGGCCTTTACCTGCAAACTTGGGGAGCTCCCAAACGCCCATCTATGTGGAGGAAACGGTGGAGGCAGGTCCAGCTCCAAAACGGATCGGCGTGGAACCGTGGAACTCCCAGCTGGCCACGGCCAGGCGCAAACTTCCAGAATCGCGGAAGTTGCTTTCGAGGTTCCGGAATTGCTGCTGCAGATGATCTTATGATGTGCATGTATGTATACACTCATACAATATTTTACACATAAATAGATATGTGTATGTATGTGTATATGTATATGTATATGTATATATATATATATGTATGTGTATGTGTATGCGTGTGTGTATGTGTATATATATATATATATGTATGTATGTCGCATGATATACGCATGATGAAATTGTTATATGTGGAATGATGATATATCTCATGAATGCAGAGCTATGATGACATATGATGATAGTACTGGGGCGGGATGATAGTTGGGACGTTAATTGTGAGCCTTGATCACACTGCTTCCTTTCGACTGACCCAAGAGTGTTCCTGTCAGTCTCCCAAGCCCTGCTCTATGCCTAGGCTCGTGAACGTGTCCCTGTGCTGATCATTGCCAGGGATCGGGTTCATGTCGGGAACTTACTGGTCAGAGAGACTGACCTGGTGAGCTGTTCAAGTAAATGATGTCCACACATGATCCTCATGTTGCCCCAAAAAATAATTTAAGGTATACGGCAATTGAACATGTTTGTAGCCCTGCCATCCCGATAGGCATGCAGTGACTGACATATTGGTTTTGAATGGTTTTGATAAATATTACATATATATGCATATATATATATATATACGAAACGTAGCTCCAGTGGAGCTACCTTGAGTTTTACTTTACGAAGTAAAGGGAAGGGTGACCAGTGGACCAGCCCTGTTGCCTGATTATTCAGGAGGTTGCAGTTGCTGTTCATTTTAGGATAGCTGCACCAAAAAAAATAACTCCACCCCCCACGAACCCTTAAAGCAAACCCCAAACACTGTGATTTACAAGGGTTTTGTGACTTTTGCATGGAACAAATACTTCTCGCAACATGATGAAGACTGAGTAAATACCACTGTTTTTGCTAGGTGCTGTCCAAAAAACACTGCGAATGCCGTGGTTTTTCCTGCCAAGGATAAACAACTTTGTAAATACCGTGATTTTTGGTCTGCAAGGCACCAAAAAACATCTATGTTTATTTTACAATAGTTTATTTCTGCGAGGGCTTTCAAACATTGATTAAAAAACAGCCGAACTGACGCCTTTTGGGGCCCTGTGCGCATACTTGCCATCATCTACAACAGTAACGACAGCAAGCATTTGAAATATTTGAGTATTTCCCCACCTGCCAGGTGAGGGTTGCTAGATTTTATCAGAGCTGTTGCCCTCCTCCTCCTCCGCTTCGTCCTCTTCCCCCTCCTCCTCCTCCGCCTCCTCCTCCAGTTTCTCCTCGACCATGTCTGCATCAACTTCCACCTCCACTTCCGCCTTGCCAACTCTTCGCCAAGCTCTTCGCCAACTTCCGAGCTCAGTGCGCACTGCTGGACCTCAACCTGGGACCTTCCCAGCTCAGTGTGCACCGCTGGACCTCAACCTGGGACCTTCCCAGCTCAGTGTGCACCGCTGGACCTCAACCTGGGACCTTCCCAGCTCAGTGTGCACCGCTGGACCTCAACCTGGGACCTTCCCAGCTCAGTGTGCACCGCTGGACCTCAACCTGGGACCTTCCCAGCTCAGTGTGCACCGCTGGACCTCAACCTGGGACCTTCCCAGCTCAGTGTGCACCGCTGGACCTCAACGGCCAGATAGAATGCCAGAAGATATGCCAGATAGAGTGCCAGAAGATATGCCAGATAGAATGTTAGAAGATACGCCAGATAGAGTGTCAGAAGATATGCCAGATAGAATTTTAGAAGATATGCCAGATAGAATGCCAGAAGGTATGCCAGATAGAATGCCAGATAAAATGTCAGATAGAATGCCAGATAAAGTGCCAGAATGTTTGCCAGATAGAATGCCAGAAGATATGCCAGAAAATATGTCAGATAGAATGCCAGAAGATTTGCCAGTAACAAAAGGTATAAATGTCATGGTGGGGATCCACGAAGTAAAGTAATTTTGTTGTTTCATGTTTTTTGGGAGATGTTGGTGTGGTGACGCATTTTACACAGATACGCTTCTACAAACAGGCGACGTTACGCACAGCAGCCTTTACACAGAGCATTTTTTATCTGCACATGCTCTTACATAGAGAGGTTGTGCACAGAGAAGCTTTTATACGCAGACGCCTCTACACACAAGCCTTTTACGCAAAGAGGCTTTAAACACAGAAGCGCGCTCTTCAGCCGAACCTGCACTGTTGCTGTTTGAACTCCTGTCCGTCTTTTTGCTTCCTCTTCCTGATCATCTACCTTTCGTATTCCCCTTCCCAAGCAGTATACCCAGTATAGCAAATTTGGGTATTTATTTGGAGATTCCATTATATAATGGTCGCCAGGGATTTTACAGTTTGTGTGTCCCCTCACCCCAGGTGCTTTGCTTCAACTCGGGAAAAACTGTGTTCAGACCAGAGGAGTCAAGTTTGTGATAGTGTGCGTTCCGGTGCTGTGTTGTTGTTTTTTTACCTGCATTTGAATGATGAATGGCACCTGTGGAAACTATGATTTGCTAAATCATTCTGAATTTTGCCTGCCAATTTCCATCACAGAAACCGTTCGCAGTTAGTCATCCCATTTGTAATCGATTTGTCATGACCCTGGCTACTTGCCACTTGTCGTCATCACATTATTTATTGCCACATATTGCCACTATTATCTTTATCATTGCAGGAAAATTGTTTTGTGTATCCATGTCGTCCCTAAAATTAAATACCCGCTTTCAAATCTTAATTTGGTACTAGAACGTATATACTTGTTTTATTCACTCTACTTGTTTTGGTGACCCCTTGTCTTCTTGGGGACTTGGATATTTGGCGGTGGGATCAACCACCATATTTTTCAGCTATGTACATTTATATATATATATGTGCACATACATATGCAATTATGTACATATATATAATATTTACATTATGTAAATTTGAGTTTGCTTAGTCAATTTATTGATTGTTGTGTATCTATAATAGATGTATGCAGCATGATGCGTTCCTTTCCGAGGCCGATCATTTGGTGGAAAGCCTACAAGCAGCCGCTCGATCTCGTGGCCTTGGAAGTACCTGTGAGGACGACCGGCCGTCACAGAGAAGCAATTAAGAAATTGACTGTAGGTATGGTTGGTGTATATGTGCATTATACTCCTTTATTTAATTTTATTATATTATTACATAGAATGCACTCCAGTTTAGGGATATCCAATGTTTTCCCATACCCATGTGGTCATAAATTCCACCAGAAGAGTTGCGCAATCCACGGCAGAGATACTCCAGGATGCAGTGCGATCTCTGTCGCGGACGTTCAAAACTCAGTCGACACGTTCATTACACATTTGCACAGATAGAATAAATAGGTACAGCATATAGATACATGAGACATATAGACACAGTGCATGTATGCCAACATATATATATATATATATTATATTATAATACATCACTTGTTATTCACATACATTCAAATAATGGCAATGGAAAGGGATCGTCCATGAACTAAAAGACTGTCATGCTTTGTCATTCTTCCTTATCCGGCGTCAACGTGAGCTTATTGCCTGGGCCATCATATGAACACTCCCGCGATGTGGGGGAATTGATTTCACTTGAGTTGAAATGACACATATAAACTTTTGGGAAATGGTTTTGGATGTTTGAAGGTGAACATGAGGACCATCTCATTTTTTTTTGCAACAGCATCTCTACTCCTGTCACCAACATGTTTGTTGAAGTGGACGCGCCCTGCCTATCCCAGCCAGCCAACTCATCAAAATCCCTACAAGTCAAATTCTACTCCCTAGCATTCCCTAACAATACGCCGGAAGATTGACTACTTCGCGTATGCCATGTTTTCCCTCCACAAGTATATTGACGATTGGAAGGGATCGTTTTGTGCCATGGCTTCCTGGAATGTGCTTCTTTTCACGAGTCTGACGTCCTTCTGGATTTGTGCAGGACTTGGGGTAGACTTGTTGTTTGCAGGGGGAAGTGAAAGGGCCACTCGGCAAAAGCATCGCAACGAAAATCGGATGATCCGGTATACCGGATACAATTCGTTATATATTTTTAATCGTCCTGCAAACTTTGTAAGGTCGGTCTTTTGATTGAAGAATCTTCAAGCTGCGGTGCTGCTGTTCGATCATTTTTATTTGATGGGAGGGTGTGCATATGATATATATAATGTATGTTCTGGACGCTCCTGTAGCTAGAGGATGTGGTGAGAAGTACCGGCCGGCAATTTGGTGACGGTTGAGTAGGTATTGTCATGAAACCAAAATGACCGAAAAGAAAAAGGTTGAAAATGGTTCGACTGGTTGGGTAATTATGTTCTTTTTCAGTGTGCAGTGTGCATATATCATAAGTGCATATATTCCGACATCTTCCAACCAAGACGACTTTGCTCTCACACCTTTGCAGGGGCAGGCACAGAGTACAACATCGTGAACCTTGACAACTCCACATTTCCACTGGCTGTAGGGCATTCTTTGCCAGTGTTCCTTCGCTTCGACAAGGAGTATCCTTACGGAGTGCCTCGACATTCCATGAGTCACCTAACTGAAGTGGCAATAAGTGGCAGGGTATTGGACCCTCAAAAAGCAAAGGTGTTCCGTGGCTTGTTTGGAAGAGTTCCCACAACATCCTGCAACTAACTTCGGTAGGTTGGCCTAGCACTGTGAATATCGTGAATGTCATTGTTTTTCAACTTCCTTGTTGATCCTTCTCAAGAACTACTTGACTTGACTTGAGAATTTGCCAGTAAGGCGCGCATGATCATGAATTTGGACCTTTGGACAAATGGGCTGACAGGGGCCCACGCACCATGCTAAGATATTCTAAGTAAGGAAGCGCGCTAGAGCGAGTTGGTGTGAAAGTTTTTTGTTCCCTTTGTGTGGCACTAGCAATGGAATTGTCATTCTTGCATTGTACTGCCTTTTTCTGTCTACTCTATCTCTTGCTGCTGATTTTTTGTTGCAGATGCAGAGGTTGCCAGACTGGGCCTGATTTTGTCAGTGCCATCCCTTTTTTTTCAGCAAGATCCTCCAATATTCTCAGAAGCCCTGGCAAAAATGCTCCAATATTTCTAGTTTCTCAATGTTTCTCATATTTCTTGCCGTTTTTTTTGGTGATTCTACGCTTTAAAAGAAAATATCACGTGCATAATCCAACACAGTGTTTCATAGGACATCCAGTGGCTGTAAGGACAAGGCAGATGCCTTCAAGGCAATGGCCATAGCGTTGGCGAAGGCAGATAGCCAGATCCTGATCGGGAACATTGGCATCTCTACATATGGAGACATGCCCAACCAAGACATGGCAAGGAGGTTTGAATTTATTCCTGAAGAGACTCGGCTCGCGGATTTTTTTGTCATCAGATGGTGGAAAACAGAGAAGATGAGGTAAGACAGAGTACTATATAGTAGTAACAGAGGAAAGTTTGTGAACCTGTGCGCAGGTTGATTGGTTTTATGGTGGCTGCACACACACTGACTTCTGGAATGCTTTGTCCGATCCCACGGTGCAGCAAAATATTGCTTGATCAAGCCAAGGACAAGGAAAGTTTGACACTTGATGATATGGACACTTGAGCTGCAAGTTGAGTTCGGCAATCGGCATTCATCGAAATGAAGGAGCACCCGCTTTTTAATTTTTGAATGCATGATAGCAAGTACAATACATAAACATAATGATATTGATGAGATACGGTCAAAATAAGCGTTGAGTACTTTAGTAAGGGAGGGTCCAGTCGTTTTGAGAAAGTGCGCCGAACCATGTAAAGCGATAGGACCCCCAAAACCGATAACTTGTAACCATATGAGAGTGTAAACCAAGCAAATATTGTAGCGCAACTTCACGCGATGGGCAGAATTTATGAAGATAATGCAACCTGCTAAGAAGAAGGGCTCAACAAGAAAGTGAGCAGGTTCTCAACACTAGGCCATGGCTTAATCAAATAGGCAAGGGCGAGGTGACCCTTTTTATTCTTCATAGAATGAATGATCTTATACACGTTGGGAACCATTGATCTTAATTACTGTCTTTCTAGTTCGGAGTTGAGATTGTAACAAATTTCATTGCTTAGGAAAGAGTCTATAGGAAAGTGCTTAGATAGCTCCCCAACATGGTTGCAAACGCAAAGACAACGAGCACACCTTAATCCATCCCCGGCAGTGTAGAGATCTGAATCCGTGAAGCCAATTCCGCCGCATGTTTGCATTATTTTGTTTTGATTTGGACAAAACATTGTAAAGCGATAGGCCCCCCCAAATAGTTTTGTACCAGGCGTAAACAATCAATCACACCTAAGCGGGTGCCCGTCAGTTTTTGCCGAGTTATCACGCCTCGAGACACGTTGTCTTGGGGTCGCTGTTGATAGTTAGGAGCTTCACTTGACCATACGTCTGTTGGATTTGGAACAATTGATTTGACGGCGGCTCGTGCCTTTTCTCTGAGTTCCAGCAGTTATTGCATGAGGGGAGACAGTGGTGGAGCTACACTTGCCGCTCCACGGTTAGCAGGCAAGGTCAATCATGGATACAATCCCCCGGTGCATTTACATTAATCATGGAGCAGTTGTCCTAGCATGCTCAAGTCTTCCGCAGGAAGAGACAAGTTGTGTGATATTCCTCGTAATTATAAAAAGGATTGCACCGGCAAGACGCCCCAAACAGCGTGGGGGGTAGGAAGGCAATGTACCTGGTACAAGCAACAGTAGCTATGGCAGGTTGGACACTATCGGAGCTGCAGCAGCAGGAATTTGTTTTGGCGCAAGAAGATACGCTGTCTACTCATCGGAAGGACCTCATACCAGAACCTCATACCAGGACATCTAAGAGGATGGCGAACGATCGTCAAAGAGGGACCTTCCATATACTGGATCCCACAAAAGATCTTCATAACATAGACCCGGGCAAGCCGGCGGCGGAAGTTTCCCAAACATAAATGACCTATAGTTCAAAGACACCCTGTCCCGACCGTGTCCTTCCCTCGACACTCCACACCTCACACTGCACACTGCACTCTTCGCACTCCAAACTTCAAACTTCACACTCCACACTTCACACTCCACACTTCTCACTTCTCACTGCTTCCTTCACACTCCAAACCTCACACTTCACACTTCACACTTCACACTTCACACTTCACACTGCGCTCTTCGCACTCCACACTGCACAGTCCACACTTCACACTTCTCACTTCACACTTCTCACTTCTCACTGCTTCCTTCACACTTCACACTCCAAACTTCACACTTCACACTTCTCACTTCGCACTTCACACTCCACACTTCACTCACACTTCACACTTCACAGTCCACACTTCACACTTCACACTTCACTCACACTCCAAACTTCACACTTCTCACTTCGCACTTCACACTCCACACTTCACAGTCCACACTTCACACTCCAAACTTCACACTTCTTCACTTCGCACTTCACACTCCACACTTCACTCACACTTCACACTTCACACTTCACACTTCTCACTTCTCACTTCACACTCCACACTTCACACTTCACACTTCACACTCCACACTTCACTCACACTTCAGACTTCACACTTCACACTTCTCACTGCTTCCTTCACACTCCAAACCTCACACTTCACACTTCACACTGCGCTCTTCGCACTCCAAACTGAAACTTCACACTCCACACTTCACACTCCACACTTCACACTTCAGACTTCACACTTCTCACTTCTCACTGCTTCCTTCACACTCCAAACCTCACACTTCACACTTCACACTTCACACTGCGCTCTTCGCACTCCACACTGCACAGTCCACACTTCACACTTCTCACTTCACACTTCTCACTTCTCACTGCTTCCTTCACACTCCAAACTTCACGCTTCTCACTTCGCACTTCACACTCCACACTTCACAGTCCACACTTCACACTTCTCACTTCTCACTGCTTCCTTCCCACTCCAAACTTCACACTCCAAAACTCACACTTCACACTTCTCACTTCGCACTTCGCACTCCACACTTCACACTTCACAGTCCACACTTCACACTTCTCACTTCTCACTGCTTCCTTCCCACTCCAAACTTCACACTCCAAACTTCACACTTCACACTTCTCACTTCGCACTTCACACTCCACACTTCACTCACACTTCACACTTCACAGTCCACACTTCACATTTCTCACTGCTTCCTTCACACTCCAAACCTCACACTTCACACTTCACACTGCGCTCTTCGCACTCCAAACTGAAACTTCACACTCCACACTTCACACTCTCACTTCCCACTGCTTCCTTCACACTTCACACTTCACACTGCACTCTTCACGCCCCACACTTCACACTGCTCTAAACGTACGTCCAACAAAAAAACACTAGTGCCAAAATGCAGAAATCTGCTAACAAACCCATTTCGCAGCCTTCATGCAGCCACTCCAAGACGATTTCCGAGATCCAGCTGCAAAAGACAATAGTATTACGAATGCAGCCACAGCACGAAGCAACCTTGACGCAGCCATTACAATGCGATCTGCAGAGACTGAGTTGCAAAACACAATAGAACTACGCGCAACGGCGTCGGAAATTGTAGCTCCAAAACCGGGGATCTCGACGCCAGAGCGAAAAAAAGACGATTTTGAAGCACTTTTTAAAGGGATTTTTAGAAGGAAAATCACTAGCGCCAAAATGGAGAAAATCTGCTAACAAATCCATGTCGCAGCCTTCATGCAGCCACTCCAAGACGATTTCCGAGATCCAGCTGCAAAAGACAATAGTATTACGAATGCAGCCACAGCACGAAGCAACCTTGACGCAGCCATTACATTGCGATCTGCAGAGATTGAGTTCCAAAACACAATAGAACTACGCGCAACGGCGTCGGAAATTGTAGCTCCAAAACCGGATCTCGACGCCAGAGCGAAAAAAAGGCGATTTTGAAGCACTTTTTAAAAGGATTTTTAGAAGGAAAATCACTAGCGCCAAAATGGAGAAAATCTGCTGACAAATCACTGTGGCAGCCTTCATGCAGCCACTCCAATACGATTTACGAGATCCAGCTGCAAAAGACAATAGTATTACCAATGCAGCCACAGCACGAAGCAACCTTGACGCAGCCATTTACATTGCGGGAACGATCCTACAGTTGCAAAGCACAATGGAATTCCATCGGCAACTCCTCCACCAGCACCACTTGCAATCCCATTTACAGTGAGGGAACGATCCTAGAGTTGCAAATCACAATGGAATTCCATCGGCAACTCATCCACCAGCACCACTTGCAATCCCGTTTACAATGCGGGAACGATCCTACAGTTGCAAATCATAATGGAATTCTGTCGACCACACATGCACGAAAAGCAGTTGAAACCCCATTTACAATTAGGAACCGATCTGACCATGGTCCGAGCATGATCCGAGACCGATCCGACCATGATCCGACCACACACGAGACCGTCTCGCACCCGTCGCACCGCAGAGTCATCGAGGTTCGGGGACGGACTTTGTATGGAAAAACATAGGCTTTCGTGCATCTGCTATCTCTCAAAAACGCATTTCGTGCCAGACTTCCTCCAAAACTCCATCGGCAACTCCTCCACCAGCACCACTTGCAATCCCATTTACAGTGAGGGAACGATCCTAGAGTTGCAAATCACAATGGAATTCCATCGGCAACTCATCCACCAGCACCACTTGCAACCCCATTTACAATGCGGGAACGATCCTACAGTTGCAAATCACAATGGAATTCTGTCGACCGCGCATGCACGAAAAAACACTTGAAACCCCATTTACAATGCGGAACCGATCCGACCATGGTCCGAGCATGATCCGAGACCGATCCGACCATGATCCGACCACACACGAGACCGTCTCGCAACCGTCGCACCGCAGAGGTAGATCATCGAGGTTCGGGGACGGACTTTGTATGGAAAAACATAGGGTTTCGTGCATCTGCTATCTCTCAAAAACGCATTTCGTGCGAGACTTCCTCCAAAACTCCATCGGCAACTCCTCCACCAGCACCACTTGCAATCCCATTTACAGTGAGGGAACAGTTTCTTTGCTAACTCTTTCTGTGACTAACTCTTTCCCTCACTAACTCTTTCTTTGACTAACTTGTTTCTTTGCTAACTCTTTCTGTGACTAACTCTTTCCCTCACTAACTCTTTCTTTGACTAACTCTTTCCCTGACTAACTGTTTCTTTGCTAACTCTTTCCCTCACTAACTCTTTCTTTGACTAACTCTTCCCCTGACTAACTGTTTCTTTGCTAACTCTTTCTTTGACTAACTCTTTCCCTCACTAACTCTTTCTTTGACTAACTCTTTCCCTGACTAACTCTTTCTTTGACTAACTCTTTCCCTGACTAACTGTTTCTTTGACTAACTCTTTCCCTGACTAACTCTTTCCCTGACTAACTCTTTCCCTGACGAACTCTTTCTTTGCTAACTCTTTCTTTGACTAACTCTTTCCCTGACATTTTCCCTGACTAACTCTTTCTTTGACTAACTCTTTCCCTGACTAACTGTTTCTTTGACTAACTCTTTCTTTGACTAACTCTTTCCCTCACTAACTCTTTCTTTGACTAACTCTTTCTGTGCTAACTCTTTCTTTGACTAACTCTTTCCCTCACTAACTCTTTCTTTGACTAACTCTTTCCCTGACTAACTCTTTCTTTGACTAACTCTTTCCCTGACTAACTCTTTCTTTGACTAACTCTTTCTTTGACTAACTCTTTCCCTCACTAACTGTTTCTTTGACTAACTCTTTCCCTCACTAACTCTTTCTTTGACTAACTCTTTCTTTGACTAACTCTTTCTTTGACTAACTCTTTCCCTCACTAACTCTTTCTTTGACTAACTCTTTCCCTGACTAACTGTTTCTTTGCTAACTCTTTCTTTGACTAACTCTTTCCCTCACTAACTCTTTCTTTGACTAACTCTTTCCCTGACTAACTGTTTCTTTGCTAACTCTTTCTTTGACTAACTCTTTCCCTCACTAACTCTTTCTTTGACTAACTCTTTCCCTGACTAACTAACTGTTTCTTTGCTAACTCTTTCTTTGACTAACTAACTCTTCTAACTCTTTCCCTCACTAACTCTTTCTTTGACTAACTCTTTCCCTGACGAACTCTTTCTTTGCTAACTCTTTCTTTGACTAACTCTTTCCCTGACATTCTAAAAGTCCGTAACACGGAAGTTTCTCCCCCTAAACTTCCTTTGACAATAACTTCCTATGAATATCCCAGAAAAACTTTCATACAAGCACCAGTGCGGAGCATCTTTAAAATCGCAATGCAAGGACCTGTTGAGGATGATTTCAACAGGATCTCCCCAAGATCTTCTCACAAGAATCTCGCACAGGTCATGCAAGGACATCTTGCATGGAGGATTTCACCAAGATCTGTACAAGAGCTTCTTACCAGCAATTGTGACCAAGATCGTCATGCCAGGACCCCAAAGAGAAACCCACAAGAGCATTTTTTTTATTTTGCGCTTGACACCCTGAACCTTCAGTAGCACGCAGGTTTCGCGTTTTCGGGCGCCGCCGGCCGATTCAAAAATACGCGTTTTTTTTATTTTGGCTGCCTACGTCACAAAACGACTTGCTGCTGCTGGAGAGGATCTTACAAGATCTTGATACAAGAGCCTCCCAAGAGTATTCCAGAAGAGCTTTCATAGAAGCACCTCCAACACATGGCATCTGCAAGACCTTCATCATCCTTCATCCAGGGACCTCCTAGAGAGAATTTTACCAGGATCTCCGCCCTCCACAAGATCTTCTGACAAGGACCAGGATCTCCACAAAATCTTCTTATAAGGGCCTGTGCAAGATCATGCAAGGAACTCTTATGGGAGAGGGTTTCCACCAGGATCTCCGCAAGATCTTCTTATAATAAGATTAATAAGGACATCGTTGGACATCTACAAGACCCTGGCGCACGGACCTCCAAGACTGCACCGTGAAACTCTTGCAGGATCGTCATAGAAGGACCTTCCAGGGACTTCATAAGATCTCTTGCTTGACCAGAATCTCAGGGACTCAGCTAAAATCAGCACCGTGCCTCATGCACGACAAGAGCGGTCCCGCACACCCAAAGTCGCAAGAGGGTTGCGCGAGCGATAGCAAAATTCGCACAGCGCCTCAACGAGAGTGATTGTGTCCAAAGTGCCGAGGGGTTTGCGCGAGCGACATCAAAAGTCGCACGGGGCCATCAGGAGAGCGATCCGAAACGCACAAAGTCACAAGAGGGTTGCGCGAGCATAGATTTTCACAAAACATTGCACCCACCTCGAAAAACGAACATTGAAAATATATTATGAAAATGAACATATTAAAATAGATGTTTTTTCAACCTGGTCTCAGCCACTTTTTTGTCGAGGTGTGCAAAGTACTGCACTTGCAACGAAAAATGAGCCCGAGGCATGCGAAGTGCTTCACCTGCCACACGGAATCATGATCATGACCCAAATTAACAATGACACCAGTTTCACAAAACGACATTTCCCACCCTTTCGGAACGTAGTCCAAATATTGCGAGCGCCACGCACAATGACTTCCAAAAGCATCTCTCATTTTGACACACGTTTGCCCACGTTTTGGCAACGTTGCCACGCCTGCCACGCGGATGACAAAATGCCCTATACAATTATACATGTCCTGCATCTGTCACGCAAAACGACGTTTCAAGTTTCAAAGTGTCCCGGATGTCCAACGCCTGCCACACGAAATGGACATAACCAAAAAAACGAACACGGTGCGCTGGTAAAACGAGACCTTCGGAAGAGACAAATCCGTTACCGACATTTTGTGCGAGCCTGCGCGGTCAAAATGCACATGGACATCTCACAAGGGAATTTTTATGCGAGAATTTACAATGAAGAATCGGGGACAAGAGAGCGTACCCTGATCTAACACTGGCCTTTTACTCTTATACTTATACAGTTAAAAAAACAGTGTGGACACACTGTTTTGGGAATTGAAAAGGCATACTGCGCGGTGCACAATCAACATAATCAATCTAGCACGATACCCACAGCGCAACCCTCCGCTTTGACCTTTTAGGATCAACACTTTCCAAAGTTCATGTACTTCAAGCCCGGAAGTACTGAAGGACAGCTGTACAATGGTGCAGTGACCAAGTACCTTGGCGCAATTGGTCGCTGCTTAATAATTACGTTTGAGACTGTTATCCAGCAGCCCCTGCCATAGAGTAGATCACTGGCAGTTTGTTGCGAGCCAACTGACAAGGTCCTTTTGAGATCTCGAGACTACCTTGTTTGTAAAGATGTCCGATCCATTCCGCTTTGGGTGTCCCAACTATTTTTCCCATTACCCAAGCACTCCCAGAACCCTCTCTCCCAGGTACCCAGGCCTCAGTTCCAGGAACCACTGGAACCACGGTTCCAGCGAGGAACCACTGGAACCATAGATCAAAATCATAATAAAATTATATAATGGGATGTTAGTTTCCTTCAAGTTTGTAACCCTTCCACACTGAACCCAACTGATTTTTCCCACGCTCAATGGCATTTGTATGCTCGCTAGCTCCGCCTGCCCATTATTTCAGCATGGCAAGCTGTGACAACTTTCAGCAAAGAACGCTTCAACACTCGTTCCTCCATATTTGGGGCCATGGAAGTAGCCTGACATAAACATTTCAAAAAACCCATGTAACTTTCACCACTGAAGCAATGGTATGCTCGTGGATTTTGAAGAGTAGCCAAGACATCAGCACATACATGGTCATACAGATGACTCTTTGGCAGCACTAGCCAACGCAGTTTGTTCTGCAAGACTGCCACTATCGCAGAAACATGTAGAAAATGTAGATTTTGAATCCCCAAAGCGTGTAGGCGCTGAGCCCGTTCGAGCGTAAGGTAATAGGGAAACACCTCTGTCAATCGCTGCCACTCGGCAAAACCACACCTCAGTACAGCTAGGCCCTCACCACATTCTTTATTTGGAGATCTAGCAGACGACGTTTGAAGGTATCCCCACTTCAAAAAAAAAGAATTTGTTCGAGCAACACAGTAGCAACCCCAACACTCCATAGCTGCTTGCGCTCCGCAAATGCTGCGTTTGCCTCGCCTGGCCATTGCTGCAGCATGGCTCCAAGTGCCTGACTCAGCTCCGCCTTGGTTTCAATGTGGACGGGGAAAAAAAACCTGTAAAATCATGTCCAAAAGCTTTTGGTATTTAGGGATTGGACATCAAGTTTGGGACCCAACATCATGGTCAAGCCACTGCTAGCCATGCCAAAATGACCCTGGCATTGTAAGCTTTTGCTGTCAAAGAGGGATATGTTTTCACACCATCAGAATTTTCAGTATGGAGATGGGCCCATTTCCAGCGTCTGTGTGAACAGCTCACCTTGTTGGCCTGTGTCCATGAGCGGAAATCATTGTACAAATGTCCCATCGCCTCTTCCAGGGTGCAAGTCCATTGGGCGACGCGAAACTCCGCCAACATAATCAAACCCTCCGCGTTAATCACAGCATACAGGCCAAGGTTGTTGGAGTGCATTACGCAAAACTTCCTTTTGTTGGTAGATGGGATGGCCACACAAAGTTCAGTATAACCGATGTCAGTATGGGAAATTCCACACCACAAATTAATCCCAAAAAATGTTGCTAAATGACACCTAAGATGCAGCATGTCCATATCAAACCCCTTGATAAACACCAAGGGGTTCAGCGGGACCCCCAAGCAATCCTGCATCCACTCAATGGTTGCGCGGGATGTCCACTGGCGACCAAAGTCAGTGAACAATGGACCATACCTGCAAAGTGGGAGGCAGAACCTCAATAAACCCATTTTGATTTCTAAGACTTTGGAATAGTTGTTTGGGGCACCCCGCAAAAATGTAATGCTATTGCGTGTTCAGTTACTTTGGGATACGGGCTGCCTCACAACGAAAGCATATTGTACCACATTTCCAGTAATGAGACCACATTTTGAACAAGGCAGTGTGCCATTGCCAATCCCCTTTCACTTCAGTCAAAGCCCATGTGTAGGATAGCGGTGAACCCTCCAAGTTTTTCTGACGGGAATTCAATTCAAAATCATCAGGTCTCAAGCTTCTAGGAGGCCGACGGCCAATCAATGCTATGTTGAATGACCAGCGCACCCTCTTCAGAATAGGGTACAAAGTTACCTTAGGGAGGAAGGCAAAATTAAGATTCAGGGTTTCAAGGGCCCACACGAAAGAAATAGATGCAGCTTTTTGGTTATTTGGTCTGATTTTGGAATGCTAATCATTGTCCCCTTCTGGAACGTTGTCATATTACACATGTCGGCGCCGTGTCAAGGAATCGTCTGGGTGAACGTGGCTGTGATCAACAAATAGCGTTCACAGGCAAGAAGGCTGGACAAACTGAAGCATCAACAGGGGTGGATACTGTTTGATTCATATAGCCCAAGGTTCAGATCCAAAGCTCCCAACAGCAATTGCAGATATCACAATGCTGAAAAGAAAGTTCTCGGCATAAGATCCTTGGCAAAGAGGTTTTGCGCTGCACTTAAAAATTAGAATAATGGTATACGTAACCACTTCATGAACAAATTCCTAAAGAAAAAACTGACCTCTTATTTATTACCCAGTCACGTTGTTTGAAGACAAGTGGTGAACCAAGGCAGAGTGCTATGAATTTGTCTCCATGAGTTTCTGAGTACCTAGCTTCGTCCCCATAGATGAAAACAGGCATAGCGATGGAATCCTTTCCAGGGTGGCTTGCAGCCCAGCTCGCCACGCTGCTCCAATGCTCCCAGTATTTCCTAATTGGGAATTCAAAGTTTGAAACCCACATGTTTTTTTTTTGATGGGGTATGAAATGAAACCGCAAAAACAATAAAAATTGTAATGAACACAGCTGTGAATCTGCAGGGTTGAGGTTTTTACCTTGAGGCGCCCTGTTTTCCAAAGGTATTCCAACAGTTCATGGGGGTCATACATAGGAAGCTTAGCTTCAATCACTTCAGATGAACCAGGTCGAGAATAGACCGGGCATGATACCCAACTAAGATCAAGAGGAAGTCGTATGAACCTGAAAAGGTCCCTGTTCGCGTTGTGCACCTGCATCTTTGCAACTTGCTTGGTTACGGGATGAACATTGTTGGCACCAACTTCATCAACAACGGCCTTTGCGGCCCCAATTGCTCCTTCTGCAGACTCACGGCCTTCACCTAATCGGTCAAGCCTGGTTTGTTCTTAAAATCAATGTAATCATGAATACCTATCCGCTAAAGAATACACACCCGGGCGGTTGCAATATATTAATTATTACGCCCTTAAAATATTCACAGAGATGCCCAATTTGTCCATGACACAGGTGGGCCGCAAATCCTGCAGATGAAGAAGCAGATCCAGAGGCATCACCTGCGCTGGGGCAATGGCCCTGGGCTGGTGATGTCTATGCTATGGCGAAGATAGGTGATCATAGGGGTAAAACTATTTAGAAGAACATCCTGACCATTTAGTTATAATGGAACATGAAAGTTTCATGGTCATACCGCCTGAAAGTCCAGCATTGACGGGCTGTTTGGTCACGTGCGGTTTGCAAGTTCAAATCACATCAAATCACCCTTGAACTGCCTGCGAACCTTTGCAATGGCCACCAAGTACGATCAACTATGAGAAACAAGTTGCGGGGATTCAGTGGCCCCCCTATTTTATTTGGTGAAATTCATGTCCAAGCCGATGTCCACTGCAAAGTTCTTTGGTGGCCTAATCAAGGGGTGATCAAGATTCATGACCATTTCGCAAATTTGTCGGCATATGTCGGCATCACATCGCTAAACAGCACTTGTGGTCAACAGACGCTGCACCCCAGAAGAAAATGGAAAGCAAGGTTGAACAGCCACTGAAACCAACCATCATTAATTGCTTTTGGACGATCATGATATTAACATTGCAGCGTCAACCACAAATGATAAACCCCAAAAGCGGTGATTAAACACATGTAGCTTCCACAAATAGTCTAAGCCTTCGGCCTACGAACTGCCTTTTTTGCGGCAGCCTTTGGCTTGATATGGGCTTTCACTGCGACGGCAAGCTTCTTGAAAGCATCAATGGCTTTACCCAATGCCTCGGGCACGCTTTTGGGAATGACCCCTGGAAGAAACCTCAACTGACACCTGAATTTTGATGAACATTCGAAACACTTATGGGATATCGTCTGATTAATGTTTCAAACTAGTAACCGTGAAATGGGCAAGATGGTCAGCATCGTCCTCCTGCGCCAGGCTCTTGACTGCATTGCCTTTGGCAGACTGCAGCTCAGACGAGGAGTGTTGGAGATCTTTCTGCAAAGCGGCTTTGTAGGCATCACTCCTGAGAGAGCTGGAACAACGATAGAGGGGACCTTTATTTTGTTGGTGGACGGGTATTCTATGACAATAAGATTTTAAGACACCACATTTGTATGTCAATTTCAAAAGTGGTTTTCAATCCATTGCATGTGAACATGCCAAGGGTCACAAGCTCTGGCCCAGCAGAGTTTAACTTGGTGGACAGCTCAATGGACTCCGTCAAGTGCCGGTTGGCAGCATTGTTTGCCTGCCAATGAGGAGGTGGCTTAAAAATTGTACGCTATAATCAGTCACCCCCAAAACAAGTAGACAGTAGACATGTAGTTGGAAGCTTGATGGTGTGTTCACTCCTGCTCCAACTTCTGTTTCGATGTTTTCTCCTTCTTTTCCTTCTTCGGCTTTGGCACCCCTGGGTTGCCAGGCGCCGGCATAGTCATAGTACCATCAATGGCATCATCCCTTGGTTCAGCGATGCTGACACTTTGATAAGACATTAGGCGGCATTGTCCATGCAAGCATTTTTACAGATTGCCACATGAGATGAACAAATCACAATTTCACCCATTTGTCACGTGTCCACCCAAGTAGAGTTGAGTCTAGACACAACATTTTGTCGAAGCCATCTTCTTCGACCACCGCTTGCTGTGAAGCCACAACTTCTGTACCGGTTGACTGACGGTTGGACTGGCTAAAGCTCACGAAGCACTTGTATCTCCAAAGATCTTCATTGTCTGGGAATTGTGGGTTCCTTAGATGTAAACGATTGGAATTTGCATATATTACCAGATAAATAACCAAACAACTTCTTCAATCCACTTTGTTCAAATAATTATGTTAAAAATATGAGATTTGGTCAAAGTACACTTTGATGAACTGTCCTTTCTGCTTCGGGTTAAGCTTTGCTTCCGCTTGAACATGACGATCCATCAAATCCTTGGCTAACGTCTCATCACCTAGCTCCTTGATAAGATCTTTCTTGACCAAGAAGTCATAGGTCTCAACGGCATCCTGGGACTTAGATTTGGTGGCCTTAATGACCAGGGAGCACTCAGCCCAAATGCCCTTGCAGGACAACCACAGGGTGTACAGCTCGTGCATCTTCGCTTTGCCATTGGCACCTGAGGATTGCAAAGGCAAGCAATGGGCTTTGATTTTCTTTGGGGTTTGGTACATGGCTAGCTGAGTTGGAAGGCCATCGGAATGTTGTGAGCCACAATGTCAATATGTTGAACCATGCAGTTGCTCTATTCGCAAGTACTGCATTTTTTTACAATGTGCTACGCTATCTTTTTCTGTAAAACAAGACCATATGCATCTAGGTTGCTTGTTTCGGCATCCACCTTCTTCTGCATCACCTCCTCTGGGATGTTTTCCTTTGGGCCTCAAAAGTTGGTGACTGAAACTTGGGAAACATCAAGTGGAAATTGGTGGTGTTTATTGTGTTCCGGTAAAAAACGTTTAAGCAATTCAATTTGCATATCTGCCACGTTTTTGTTGTTGTTGAATATTCCAAGCTTCACCTTTTTTTGGCTTGGAAATTGATTTACCCCTGAATCCACTGAAAAACTGTATGCTTTGAGAATAGGTGATGGGAGGTGTCTCCCTGATCCATGTGGGTATATGATAATATAATAATATATTTTCTGATATCTATAAATCTATTAAATATAACTGTATATATATATATGGGTGGATGTATTTATTTATATAAATGTATTCTGCAAATTATATACGTATATGATCGTATATGTATAAAGATATATATGTATAGATATATATATGCATTTATATATATGCATAGTATATATATATGTATATATATATATACATATTTACATATAGTAATAATATAGATGGGCCCCACTCCATTAATTAAGCCAGGGCACTGCGCAAACGCCTGTAGAACCTCATGTAGAGGGCCTCTGGACTGATGGGGTTGCCCTTCTTGTCCAACCTCCAAGCTTCTGACTTGCCAGGCTTTGAACGAGCTGAATCACCTGGGGTTTCTGTCTCATGGTCGGGTTCCCCAGCTGGTCCTTCAGACGCCTCTTCATTCAACCCTGGTTCAACCTCCATGGGGCTCTCAGGGGAATAGACGGTAGGCTTGCGAGTGACCAAGGCATCCCTCACATTGTCATCATCACCACCCGGGGGTGTGTTGGTATCTTTGGGGGACTCATCAAGTTGCTTCAGGCACTCTTCGAAGTCAGATGGATCCTGGTCAGAGCATGAGCGGTCCCACCAAGACTGACCCCATTCTTCCGGGTACTCAAACCAGCAGCGGTCACCCTGAGTGACAACATATCTGTTCTTGTATGGATCCCAAAACCAAGACTCAGCAGGGTAGTCATGATGACCAGGCCCCCACCACGACTGACCCTTTCGACCAAAGTATTCACGCTGTGAACAGCACACAGGGCTTTCAGAGCTGACAGACTCGGGTGAGGTGTCAGGGACCTCCTTCTCCTTCTCACCAGATCCTACCTGGGGTGCGTCAGACTTGGGCACTGGAGGTGGCGGCGGGGTGGAACCGGGTGATCTCATGCTAAGCTTTGGGGGTGGTGTCTTCAACTCTTCTGGTGTGTGTGATTTCTCCAACCGTGCTTCTTTAGCTGCTTGGAGGTGATGCTGCACACGCATGGAAGGTGAAGGTTCAGATCCTGAACTCTTGGCTGGGCTAACCACCTTACTAGCTGCGGGTGCTTTGGGCTGCGGGTGCTTTGGGAGGCGGTGCAGGTTTGGGAGGCGGTGCAGGTTTGGGACATGCTGCCACAGGGCTCTTGGCGCTTGGTGGGGGAGGTGTTTTCCCACGCACTCTACAAGCAGGTGCCTTAGGATCTGCAGGTGCTGCACGAGTGGGTGGTGGTGGAGGTGACGCTTTGGCCTTAGTCAAAGGCGCAGGGCCATCTCCAAGCTCCAACTTTCTCTTGGTTGCACATGCGTCCACAGTAGCACGTGCTTTTGCTAGAATACCTTGCACCAAATCCATGTTTGGCCCTGGTGGGGGTGGTGCTGGAACTGCTTTGCCTGCTTTCGGCATCTTCAATCCTGGCCAAAGGGTTAAATCTAACCAGTACCAGTGACAAAATGTGAAAAAAACACATGGAACCATTTTTGTTTTGTTCCTGAAACTTTGAATCACGGTTCCATCACGGTTCCAGGCCCTTTCCTAACGGTTCCTGCCGGTTCCTAACGGTTCCATCACGGTTCCTGACCCCAGATTTTCCCAAAATATTTAGAGAAAGTAATGGTTAATGACCCCATGGAACCCCAAATTCAGTCTTTCAAGACTCGCTAGCCACTCACCGCAAAGGAAACACAGGGCTTTTTGGGCCAAGATGCATGGACAGTTTATAAATTTCAACTACTGTGCGTTGGTTCAAACCAAGAAGACCATTTCATATATGACAACAGTCGGGCAATCAAAGCAATGTTTGTTTCCCCTTGTTGCAGCAGCGGTAATCCACAGGCAACACGCCTAATTGAATCCTAATTGTCAGACTCTGTGTGGCAACAAACATGTGAATCTTGAAAATCAAAAGGACTTGCAAGCTGCGCAATTGTTGTTGTTCAAGGTTCCCAGAGTCATCTCACAGGGCAGCCTATTGGCCCCGTTTTCGCTTAGGGCCTGATTCAGCATTCAGGCAACTAAAGTAAACACCCACCTGGTCATGACTGATCGGCGCCGTTTGCAACGGCACGGTGGACCGAGGCACAAAGTGCTCCAACAACATCTCCTGCTGGATGAACTTCAGGAGATCTTCCTGGGCCGGCGTCAGCGGTGAAGGGGGCAAAAATACACTAGTCACTAGTAAAAAAAATACATCAGGATGGGGTATTGTTTCTATTGTGCAAATGTACAAGTTAGTCTCGAGTGGGGTCTTTCTTGGTGTTGTATAATAAGATAGCTCATTTGCAAATAAATACAACTACATACATCCATCAAATTCAGACCACACTGTAAATGCAATCAAGGCACCAGTTGGGCATCATCCCATATGGATTTGTCGGCCTAAGTCAAAATCAAATTATTATTGTATTATAGGTTCGGCTTCAACCAATTCATCACACCGGGCATAAGTTGCATGTGTATCCTCATCTCTTGATGTTTACAAAACCCACCAAGGGACAAAGTTGTGTGGCCCATGTTCAAGCTGGTGGCGGTCGGGAATTGCAGGGACGGAGTTTGTATCCTCAGTTTATATTGTGGTATCAACATAATGTAGATCAGAATACAAAAACATCAAATGAATTCAAGGTTCAGCCATGTTTCAAGGCACCAGGTCTTGTGAAGAGAACACACTCGAGAACAGAACTTTGAGGGATAGGATTGTGTCTCCTTCAACTTTGGCCCTCCGCTCCTTGGAAACCAAAGAACCCATGGACATTGAACCACATGGAACATAATGGAATCATGTTGTTTTCCAACTGAATCAACGTATATAGTGACTAGTGATGGTGAAGCCAAATGACACATTCTTGACTTTACCCTGGCGATTGCGGGTGACCTTGGTGTTCCCAGCAGAAGACCAACGATGTTCTTCTCGGTCAGCTTTCGTGAGACGGGCTTGGAGAGACAGCATATGGGCCCAACACCTGCATACATATTCAATGATGAATTGGGTTCATTCCCACAAAGAAGATGTTCCCCAAACTCAGTGAGCGCAAATATGGTTATTCCAAACCCTGTCATGCTGTTCAACCCAGCCACGATGTTCCAAATGCCATGCTCCTCTTCAATGAACGATGCCCAAATAGTCCCATCCAACTTAGTTTCCACATGCAAAAACAGATTTCTTTCCCCCCAAAGTGGCACATAGGAGCACTTGGTACTGTAAAATCACAAACATCTTGAATGAAGACATGGTACAAATATTGGCATAGAGAGGATTGAAATCCCATCATCATGCGATCAGGATGGAGCGCAAGCTCTAGATACGGCAGATGCCGTGCCACTGAGCTGCCCGGCTGCTCAGTGAGGTGCCAAATTTGGCGTACTAAGCACACCAAAACGACCATACTGAAACGACATGCTATGAGATTAGCTTCACGGACACAAGATTTCAAAAGATTTCCTCTGGGGTTGCATCGTGTTTTCAATGAACTACCCCGAGCTATCCATACATGTAAACTGCACGGAAGGCCACTGTACAAAAGTGATCCCGGAGCCATCCTGAGTACGTATTGGAGAGCCACCAGCAAGCCCAACCTGGGTGAAAACAATCATGGGCTGATTTTTTGTAATGTTTGAAAACATTATCATATTATATAATATCCAGCTTCAGACTGTTTGCATACTAAAAAACACACTTGTGAAATCCATAGAGTCCTTGTCGAGGTCCACGTCGTACCGAGCTGCTGCCAGTCCGCGGCGACCTCAGAAGGATGGAGAGGTGGTTCAGAAGGGCTGAGGCTGAAGTGCAACACACATCAAATGATCATTGGGAATGCCCTGCAAGCTTAAATGAGGACTAGGCGAAAAGCTTTGTACACCCCAGAAGTCCCTGCAAAGATCTCGAAGCACTGCAGGTCCTGTGATGAGAAAAAAGTTGTTTGATGTCCAAGAAAGAGTTCAAAGTTCTTACAAATATCATGAGGTCAAATGCCCAGTGTGCCTTGCGATAGGATGCATCACTCGTCATACTGACATAGTCCAGCATATGGACCCTTAGGACGGCCAAGGCCAATGGCCGCATGTTATTTGATGCAACTGTCTCAGGATGCAAGACTTTGAATTATGTATGTATATATTCATAGATAGCTACATGCTTATATGTATAGATGTGTGTATTAATTCAGTATCTAAACTGCTGCTGAAAAACAGGATGCATGGAGCTCCTAGTGCCAACAGCATGGCGACTTGAAGATTGGTCAACTTTAGCGCAGGTGCCACCATGGCAAAGCAGTCAGTCCAGGCTGAGAGGATAGGCTAACCAATCCTGAATCCAGAAAATCCTGCAAGACAGAGCGGGTATATAGCAAATACAGGTTGCCATCAAAAGACTCATGCCAACAAATGTTGTTGTTTTACTGTGGAAACATTCATCCATTTAACACGAGAAACGAGAAACCATATTTTTTCCAAGCCTTTTCTTGACGAGTAATGCGAAAGCAGCTAGCCTGCTGAGTTGATCTGCCACGCCTTTCCACCACACTGTAAGTCACAGGTGGCACCACCATCAAGATTGAAAACCGAGAGCTAGCTGGGCATGTGATTGTGAGGCACACTTGCGTCCCATCCCCATGAATTTGGTGGCTTCAAAAAAATATAAATGAACATGTAGAAGGGCATTGCAACGTGAACGCTGCACAACCACACTTCGGCAGCTATTGTGTATATACCATTGCATCCCGCTTGGACTCCTAATCAACATCCTCCACTGAATCGTGCTTTGCACGTTTCCCACGGGATTTCAGGTCCACGCCATGCTGTTGCATCAGTTGGTTGCGGGCACTGTAGAAAGATCTCATGCATGCAGTCAAACCGTCTCCGTTTTCAAGAGCGATGGCCTTCAGTTCTAAAGACACAAGCGCCCAAAGCACCAACAAATGCATCATTTTATCAAGTGGCCTGAAAGTTGCGTATGAGGGCCCAAAAAACACATTTCAGGTCACTTGGTAAAAAATGATGTCAAAAACCAACAAACAAGCAATCAGAACATATATATATGTATATGTATGTGTGTGTATGTGTGTTTTCTCTCGGCATATGACACCCAGTAATCTCAGTCCCGTGCCAACGCGTTGCAAGGCTGCACCAGATCACTCATGGGACATCCTGGGATGGCCGACATGAATCCCACCTGAGGCCAGCTGATGGGAAGGTTGAGGCAGGTCGAGAAATCAAAAGCGATCAAGTAGTCATCACTATACTACACTGTTAAAATTTGCAGGCCTCTTTTTTCTTGATTTCACGGGTGGCTTTCATCTCAATGCCAATGTTTCCAGTTGTCCAGTACGGGACCACCTGCATGAAGAACACTGGGGCTTCAGAAGGTTGCAATCAAGGTAAATACAAAAACAGCATTTCCATATTCCTGATCTTATGATTTATGAGATGCATTTTTCCAAACGCTTGGCCATTGGAAACTTGTGAGCTGAATAGCCTTGTAAGAAGCCAAATCTGGCAGGGTAGCTTTGATCTTCTCTTTCTCCTCTGCACCTAGTGGGGTACGGTAACCCGCCAAACATCATGAGACTAGAAGTGATACAAAGTTTGGCAACTCATGCAAGAAGCGCCTACAACATGTTTCGAGTCATCATCCTTCTTTGACTTTCTCTTGGGGTTCGCTTTGGCCTTGGGTACCTTCGGTGCTTTGACCTTTGGTTCCTTTTTAGAAGGCATGCTTGGCTGGCTGGCTGAACCCCCAGTCTCTTCCGATGCTTTAGAGGTCTTGCCCCTCCCTCTGCCTTTTCCCTTGCCACCACGACCACGCCCCTTCCCACTTCCAGGCTCAGCTTCTTGGGAAGCTGCAGCTGCAGCCTTCTTCGCTTTGGCTCGCCTATGCGACACGAGGCACTATCCACATTACGGGCAAGTGGGGAGCATGATGGGCATGGAGGAAACATGAAAATTGCATTGACCTAAAATCATTCAGCTTAGTCTCATAGAAAGTTGTTCGGCCAGGATATCTTTCCCAGGAGGAATGTCGTCCAAATCGATGGCACTGAGAACTGCATTCAAGGATGGCGGGTCAGCCACCAAGGGTTCTCTGTCCTCATTGTGATGAATTTGGGGATGAACTTGACCAATCAAGAAAATTGCAGTAACCTTCAAGCTAAGTGATGGTCCGCATGGCTGTGGCAAAGCCTGGGCGGCCCATTCTCAATCGAGGGCTTCTCATTCAGAGCATCCAAGGCTTCCTCCTGCTGGAACACAAGATTATGAGCTATGAGCGAAATAATAGCATGCCATGTTGTAAATCAAGATTCAACTATTTTTTTCCAGTCCTGGGGTTCCAGCGTAGAATTGCCCACCCACTCCTTCCAGTTGTGGGTGCGCTGTGTGGCTAGCATGCACATCTGTAGGGAAGCAAATTCAACTCAATAGATTTGAATGCTGTAAGCTGCGCTCCTTTGATTCCTGGTCACCACCTGGTTCACCTTCAGGAGTTTCTTCAAGCGCGACCTTCCACGATATCACTATGGAAACAAAATTGAATATTTAATGTGTTCACATGTGTTCCTCATGGCTATAGAGACACCCATAATCATAGCACCTCCTCCATTGCTGGATCAGGATCTTCAGCTGGCGCCTGCCGTTGAATGCAGCTGGTACCAAGGAGTGCGGGTGGGGCAAAGGCTGACTCCCTGCCTCAACATCTTCAGGATCTGGGTCTTCCATAGTTTCCTGTTTGGGTGGATATCATTATAACCAGAATGAGAGAAAAATGCAAAGAACATTTGGTCCCAACATGTAGGTGAGCAGAGTGTGCCTCTGCAAGCGTAGGCTCTCCCTCGATAGGCACCTGGCAGAATTAGACAACCAAGGCTCAATAGTCAATATGTTTTTTACATGTGAACATATCGATACTATTTGTTATTATATTATATTATAATATTAAACCAATGTTCATGTGAACACAATCAGGGGAGGTCAGCGGTAGCCTCAACATCAGCTGCATCTGGATTTGAAGGGTCGCACGCAGCTTCCTCCACAACCTGCAAGCAGTAGTGGGCAACTAGTTGGGTTTGTTTGGTGCTGGTGTTTCCTAACCTCCATGTCGGCATTTCGTTCCTATTTCATATCGTTTCATGGTATATTCTGACTTTTCATGGACAAAGCCGATGAAGATATCATGTTTTTTTAAATGGTCATGGCCGCTGAGTGCACAGCCTCGCAGTGGTCAGTGTCCACAGTGGTCGACATCGTAGGGGCATGGTCCTCGCCGAGGGCAGTGACATCTAGTTGTTGTAGTTAACTTTAGAGGGGCTACATTACATGGGTGCTACATGGCTCTATACACGTAGAAATAAAAACTGTTCAAACCTGGCCTTGGGTTTCTTCCACCTACGGAGTGATGTCTTAGGAATCCATGGGCAAGGTGGCCACTCCTCAGAAACTTCACCATTGAAGGGCAAGGTCTCCATTTGGTCAATGGTGGATCCCGGGGCTAGTGGTTCATCGCCCATCTCACCTTCGTTCTCATTCTCCCCACTATCCTCATTGGCTTCCCCATCCAGATGCCCCTCACTTGTCTCTGCGGCAGCCTCCTCTGCGGCGTCTGCCTCCCCACCATCCCCTGTTGCCGGTGCTTCTGCAGATTCTGAAGTATCCTCGGGTTCGTGCAAAGCAGTCAAGATGTCTTTGAGCTGTTGCACCATTTCATTCCTAAGCTGATTATGGGAATGATTGGATAAGGGTATTGACGCAGTTGAATTCATAGGCCTAAAGCATTCCAAATTGTGAGCTTTCTTGAATAGCCAAAACACTTGGAATTGTTCGGCGTTTTTCTCCACAGCCGCACCATGTAAGTGCAATGCACCCTGAATGTGCTAGATTGAAGATCTGCCCAAGCACTCAAGTCCTTCAGCAAGGTTGTGACAGGCCACAACGCTAGGGTCTCGTTGAGGTACAGGAAGGCAGCCTCAGGTCAGACAAAAAACACACACATCTATGAATGTAGATTTTTCGCTGAATCTATCCAGTTCTTTGCCTTTATTTTTCCATATGTTTGACTCACATGCTGACAGGTGGCTTTCATTTTGGATCCCACTGGAATCTGAGTCCCAAAATTTGCCAAGACCATAGCAATCGGGTTAAACATAGCTGCCACAGATTCATCAGAAGGTTCAGCTGTAGCCTCACCAACTAGAGAGTGGTCCTTTGAAGCACGCAAGTCCTGGACCCCAAGTTCTTTCGCCCATTGCTCCAAGACCTCTTGCAAGTAATCCAACCTCAGAAGTGTGTGGGGCAAGATTTCCTAAACAGCCCTTGTAATCCCAAAATAATACATGTTTTTTTGAAGAGGAATCATTTTAATTTATGTGGAGCTGGGGGGCTGAGGATCCTTAGATCGATGGACCATGGCTAGCACGTGTGAACCAACCGGCACTTCCCAGGAGCTGCAATGGCTGCGCTGGAAAAGCACCTGACTGCACGTGACAAACAATCACCTGCAAAACTGCCGCGGCTGCAGAGGGGGGGATGGCACCTTCTTTCCATTTTTTACTCCGGGCAAGTGCAATCGCCCGCTTCATCCCATATTTTGATTTCAAATGACATCAGTACGTGATAAAACATGTTGAATTGCGACAATCTTGAGCCATACGGCTTGTTCCTGTCTCACGGTTCCTATCCAGATTTCCAGAACCTTGAAATACAGGTAACCAGGCTAGTTCCTAATATACAAGGTCATGGAGCCCTTGGGTTAACTATTAAACTAACATGGAACGTGCTGGTGAATTTGAGGAGCATCCATGAGCATCCCGTTTTTGAATGTTTTTGGATCTTTTTGGGTACACCCCTGCACGAATCTGCACCGGTACGCAGTCTCAGATTCTGCCTAGGGCGGCCATGTTGAAGTTTCTGGGGGTAGAAGAGAAGACTTGCGATTTGCTGACTGGAGCGTCGTGTAGCAAGCAGGAGATGGTTCACATAGAACATTTCAAAGGGAAGAGCGTTGAAGAACTCAAACAGGAACTCAAGGCTCTCAGCAAGAAATCTGGAGAGACCCTCAAGAAGGATGAACGAATCCTAGTGGATGGACGAATGAAGGTTTTGAAGAAGCTCCTGAAGGCTTTGAAGAAGTCAGGGAAATGAGAAGAATGGTATGTTCAGACACCCCGTGGCTGAGTTGACGATCTGGAGCTGATTCCTTGTGGCGGGTGCGCTAGGTGCGCTTTTGGTGTCGCCTGGTTTCTTGCAGGGTTGTCCTGCAGTTTGTCAGAACACTAGGTCCTGAGTCAATGCATAGTTTGAAGCCTTTAAAATATATGTTTTTTGTTCGAGGAGCACCGCTTAGGGGAACGTTTTTTCCAATGTTTGCTTTAAATTATTGCATGTTCTTGTCAAAAGCTTGGCATTTCCTCGAGCGTTTTGATGCGTTACGTTTCGTCATGTTGTAGCAGCCCGGATTTCAATGGCATCTGCGCATGACTTTTGCGTTGATCTAAAGGCTTGATCAAACTGCCAAAGCATGAAAAAGCACTGTGCTGCCGCAGTGCTGTCAGTTTGTGAGACAAGAACCATACATGGGGAAAGCGCAGTAGCAGCAAGCGCTGTAGGATTGCAGCCAAAGAGGTTTCGAGCCCAAGAAAAGGTTGCAACATGTTCGAAGTGCATGGTTTTCGGTGAACTGGGCCCCATTTGGTAATGAAAGTGGGTCAAAAAGGCAAAACAATGGCGCAAACACCGAGCGGACCCAAAAAGATCCAAACAGATTTTGGGAGATGAATCCCACTGGGGATGGGATGGGCCAACCAGAGGCTGTATGAGGCAGAGCCGGAGCAGTGGAAAGAGAACCTGAACCGAGCCGGGGGCCACGGGGGCCACGGGGGCCACGGGGGCCACGGGGGCCGGGGATTTGGCGTGGCTTACCGTCTTACCTGCTTGTATTTGATTCTGATTCTATCGTCATTTATTCCTGTGTGTAACCAGCCCCTTGGGTGTGTGTGACTACATCACTTCCTTTGCATGTGTTCCGTGTGAATTCGGATGCGCGGCTTAATTCTGGACAAATTATAGCGACCTCACAACGACCTCACCTTAAATGGATGTGAATGGCAACTAGCGGGGGGCTTATCCCAAAAAATGTGTGGTTTTCATTTCAAGACATTTCAAGTACTTTGCGCAGTTTGATTGTGGCACATTTCGAAGCTGAACCCATTGGATTTGATTGGCCAAGGCTACCATGCCTTTGGGCCAAGCAGAGGGTCGCAACAAGCGCGAAACCCAGCTTGCTTGGAAGTCCTTGGATGCCCTGGCATGTCCCGTGCCCAAGGCAGAACGACCTCAGCTTAGTGAAACGTGCCAATCCCTTCCTGCAGGTCTTGGCGCATCACTGCCAGAGATCTCAAGTGGCGCACGGCAAGTCTGGGAACGGCGCTATTCGAAAGAATGTCTGTATTTGTCTGATATGTCAAATGAATTCAAATGATATAATGATGTATTGGCAATTATCGGATAATACATGATAATACATGATCATGTACTGGATATGATATTGTGAATTATGCATCTAAGTAAGTATACTATCATGATGTGACTGCAGTCTTTGTCGTAGAATTCCAGAACCTTCCTGGTGCGAGACTTCCGCACTCCTTAAAGGCTGAGAAGACATCACGGCATTTTTGTTATACTTACAGATTTGTTTGTCTCCTGTTTTGTGACACAACACACAAAAACTATCAATTTGGCAGCATTATTATTAATATCAGAAATCATATAAGTGAGATTTGAGATTTCACCATGAGATGGTTGATTAATCATATTCGCTATTATTACCACTCTTGCACCCAGAAATGGAGATATCACCAAGGTCACCGATCGACGAGGAGGTCGCGGCACTGATTACCGCGTGGACGATTCGGATGTGGATGGTGCTGGAGGCCGGGCATGGCGATCGCCAGAGGTTTGGAGCATTCTGGCATATGGCCTTGGATTAACAGCGGGTACATAATATATAATATTATATATATATATATGTGTGTGTGTGTACGTGTAATTTTAATTATATATTATTTATTTATATTTATTTGTATTTAGTTAATTTATTTGTTTATTTACTATGTGTGTGTGTTTATTTATACTTATGCTTATACCTATTGATAGTTATGAGAGATTTTGGAACATATACAGTATCCACTGGAAAATGGACTAGGTAATTTTTATATGTGGAGCTCCACAGTCCTGGCAATGACATGAAAATGATGACATGTTATTGTTTTTTTCTTGGATTCCTCCCTGTTATGCCATGTATTTTCAGCGTTTGGCTCGTTGTTTGACAACTACCATGTTTTTATTCAGTTCAGTATATAATCCATGGAAGGACGTTTAGAGCACATTGTCGTTGCTATGGGTGAGATGATTGCTCTAGTGATTTTCTCGGATGAGTGGAATTCATCTCTCGGGGATTCTCTAGGACCTCAAGTGCAGCCTGAGAAATTGTTTCTCGATGTTTCTCGTACATGTTGGCACCGTTTTTTCTTTAAATCACATTGGAATCACCTTATAATCACCTTGTTGTGATTAGTCCATATTGCCATATTGGTCAAATTTTGAGATGTTCATTTGTTCCTTGGTCCAGGCCTTCTTTTGATCCCGGCTGTGGCAGAGCACTGAGGAGTTCCTGTTGCCTGTGTGATGTGTGATGATTGGGGTCACTGTGACTGATCTCTGATGAACTCTGATATCATTTGATGACTGGGTATCTATGCACTGCAAACACATGTTGTTGTCTTCTAGCTTGCTTTTTCTGCAAGTTTGTGCTCTGACTTTGTTCTGTTTGTTTCCCTTTTTTTCCATGTGTTTTTTTTTTTGTATCCATTTCTCATGTTTCCATTTGGATTTGTATCATATCATAAATATCTATATACACGTGCATTCATTATGATTCTTTCCGGTGTTCCTCCCCCCTTGTTTGCATGTTTCCTGCCGTTGGGCCTTTTTGTTGGTCAATGCTCTGAAACCAAGGTTCCAACATCCCAGCGTGAGTGGACGCAATTCCTGGGACGAACGGTGCGCGCTTGGGTGGGCGCGGATGCTTTGTCAAGGATGAAATGCGACTCATATTACTTATGTATGAGATGAGGGGTATCCGGGTATCGCGTTCAAGCATCATCAAGCATCACTTTTTCTTTGAGATGGAACTCACTCATGCACAGTATGAACCAACTGGGGTTAGATTGACCAAGGGTCTATTTGGGTTGGTTTTTTGGGTCCAAACAGCTTCTCGCTATTTCGATCACTAGGGAGTGCAGTGGTCAGCACAGTACATCTGATGATTCTGAAACTTTCTCTGCTAGCCAGGCGCGACAAGACCGCCGGGGACAGTTCTGCGCTGTGCTTTGCGCCAAGGATTACGCAGGGCTTCCTAAGTCTTGGAGAAGCTATGGAGGAGGATTTTGCTTGGACTTCCTGCATTTGGAAGCCTTCTGGTTTCAAACATTGGGCGTTGCAAAATTGGAAGATTTGTTCCATGATCATCCATTATAGGTTTGATAGGTTTTTGACCCAGCAAGTTGAATCCATTGCAAAGTCTTGTATTTGGATGGGGCTTGTAGCTGTTTCGGCAATCTTACGACTCACTCACTAGGGGACAGTGAACTAGCCGAGGCTTCGTTGTCCAGCAAGTACAAGGCGTGGTTTTGGGCCTGCATAATTTATGGGCTTGAAATAAAGAAGGGCTTGGATAGAGAGCAAGGGATTTTTGCGGCCAAATGCAGCTAGTGTACATTCAACATATTTCAACATAAGATATAGATATAGCGATACCACTACCACAGCCGATCAAATTCATTCGAAGCCTTTTCCGATCCTCTTCGTAGCGGTAACGAGTTAGAACCAGATGGAAGATGAAGCAATGGAGCTTGCATTGGGGTATTGCTTTGTTGGCGCTTTTCTTGGAGGTCTACTGATACACCCTTACAAACACGTAAGCAGCTCATTACAACCGGGGTCCAACATATATATATATATACATTCAAGTATATCCAAGTGTTTGTAGGATCTATGTCGCATAATCCCAAAATGAGCCTAAACCATGGTGTTTGAAGGGATTTGACTTTAACCAATCGGGTGTCTAGGGATGATAGCATTTAAAATTACATTAGGGGTAACCTATTCATCTAAAGTGGATTCACAAATTCCACAGCCCGCTTTGGCTGTCGGACGCTGTCAATTGGTTACCATCCACTGGCAGGAGCAGATGCCACAAGGTGGTTGTGCATTGGAACCAGTCAAGGCTTTGCTGCGGACTGCAGCACTTCTTGTTTCATTTTTACCTGAATCCTTTCCGGCTGCATCCGTTTCAGAGTGTTATTCTTGCCTTACCGTACAAATTGATTATGATGGAACATATTGAGTAATATATTGAACATTGTTGAACATTATTGAGTTATGAATTAGTTGTATGATGACAATATACATTATATACATATGTTTTGAACATATAGGTGGACACATACTTAGAACATCATAGGTTTTCCAAATGCAAAAAATATCAAAAAAGCGCATTTGGATGCATTTGGAACATCAGGAAAATCAAGATTGGGATGTTCTAAGTGTATAACCACTTAGACCATCAAAATCATCAATCCACCACTAAGAACATCAACACATAAAACCAGTAATTATTCCAAAGTTGAGATTTTGGAGGGGCAATGATTTTGGCATTTTTTGTTTGACACTGGAGTCATCACTGAAAACATGGTTTGTCCCACGCATTCTGTTCTACGCACATCAAAGCTTAAATAACTGGTTTGAAACATTCCTGCACAATTGATGTTCTAAGTGTAGATGTTTGGGGCATGTTCAAAGTGTTGTTTCCTGAACAGACTTAGAAACTTTCCCCCGCAAAATATTGGAGCAGCGTTTTCCGGGTGTTCTAAGTATGTGTCCACCTATATAATACTTTGGTGGGCTTGGTCGTCAATGCAAAAGCCACTACCACTTTAGTGCATGGTCATCCTGCCGTTGGCATACCTCCTTCGATCTCCACAGATGGTCCTCAATTGGGGTGATCTGGAGACGGCCGAGCGGATCAAGGGTGCCTCAGACGAACTTCTGGAAGACATCAATAGTAAAACATCCCTTAAATTTATCATAATTTTACCATACATGGGTGGTATATAAAGGTATATACACCATCAACATATAACATCATATGACTCATATGACACTTATCTTTGCATCTCATTTGCACAAATTTAACCATTTTGTTGGCACTGTGTCCTTTTTCAAGACGCCGGTTCCAAGGTTCTGCTGCACTATACAACTGTGGTGTCCGTTGGGGCCCCAGCACGACCTCGTGAACAACTCATGGCACTTCGTGGATCCGTAACGCATCCCGGTGTCCCAGGCGTGAACGAATTGTGTGAGGAGGTCTTTGGAAAGCGACCCGAGATCCTGAGGCCAAGGGATGCCAAGGGACATGAGTAAACCAGGGATGTGAGAACCCTCTGGAAATATATCCTATGATATCCTATGGATAGGTAACACCGGTAAACACCGTGACATCATCAACTTCTGGTGATATTTGGATACCTGGAGCATATAATTATATAGTTTATTATGATTGTGAGATTGAGATATCGTGAGCACCTATGAGCTACTGGTAGGTTGCTTGGGAATGGCAACCACAAGGTGGATTGTAATGTTTGCGATTTCTGACGATTCCATACGATTCCTGGTCATTTTGATTACATATTAC